TGCTAGAATGAAATTTGCTTATATATCATATTAGAATGGAGATGAATAAATGTGTCACATTTGCTTTTAAATGGTAAAAGCTTATTAATTTATTTTATATATTTATTCAATATCATTAGGCTTATTCTGATTTGATTCTGTGAGCTAAAATGAATTTTGTTTTGATTTGAGAACATTAAATGATCAAAGCCTACTGTCAACAGAATTAAGTAAAAGCAAAAAAAAAAGTATGAAAAATGGACCATAATTAGCATGACAACTTATATACACTTCTGCATGAGAAGTGTTCTGAGCAAGAGCAGATTTATTCAGATGAGAACCTACTGGTACACGTTGGTGTGAGGGCCCATCCATGTGTGAGACATTCCACCTCCTCCGCCTTCCTCCCTCCGGCTGTGTAGTAGCCAGTTGCACATTCATAGTGTACCTTGTCTTTCACTTTGAATGATCTCTGTGTTGTGGAATAATTTCCATTGTATAATTCAGGGGCCAAACATGTTTCTAAGAAAATTAAAGTTATTTATTTTATAAACAATCTGGAGTCTTAAAAAGAAATTTCAAAATGTATCATCACTTAATCTTTAAGAACATATGGCAAGGAGCCAGCAGTGGCATGGTGGTTGGAGAACTGGACTCCCACATGGCAGATCGTGGTTTGAGTCCTGGACCTGGTGACTTGCTTTCTCACTCTCTCTTCCTTCCTCTGGTCAAACTAAGAAGTAACAATAATAATTAATAAAATTAATAAATAATCCTTTTTTAAGAAAGAACATGTGGCAAAATCAACCCTTGGTGATACTGAAAAATAACTAGTTTGCCTTTGTTTTTCTACTCTCTTTTTTCATACACCTTGTCACTTAACTTTACCAGTATTGTTCTTAAAATTCTAGTTTACTATTCTAAGACAAAGGGCACAAACCAACTGAAGGCTTGTACAGTAACACTTTTTTTAAAAAAAATATTTTATTTAACTTATTTTATTTATTTTAATTTGACCAGAAAGGGACAGAGCAATAGAGAGGAAAGAGAGAGAGAAAGTGAGAAAGCAAGCCACAAGTCTGGTATTCAATCCACAGGTGGCCATGTAGGAGTCCAACACCCTTAATGACCATGCCACCTGCTGGCCCCGAGCAGTAGCAATTTTTAAATTATTTGTCATCTACAGATTTGCACAATTTAAATAACAAGCAACATGTTAACAAAGTGTGTACATTCAAATTATTGGATTATTTTTAAGTATACGTGACATTGGTTTGCAATATAAAATAATGTACATGATCTTGAATTTTTTAATTAAAAAATAGTGATTTATATATATTGCAAGAAGAAAATATTTATTAAGGTACTTTTATTTTATTCCATTCTAGTTTTTTTATTAGTACAAAGTAGTAGTTTCAGGAGTAGATGTGTTGTAGGGGTTGAGAGCCCTTAGATTAAGAAAACACTTAGCATTTGATAAAAACAATATAATATCAATTTCCCACATTAGCAGACACAATGAAAACTATAATAAATAAAAATGCCTATCAATATAAGAAAGCACTGGCTTCCAAGCTCTTACATTCAGCCTTAGGAAATGATTCGTATACACGTACCCTGTTCCTTCCTACAGGCTGGTTGAGAAGACCATCCATCGGCGAGACACTGAACCTCTTCCTCAGCCTTCCCTCCAGTGGTTTTATAACCTGGCGCACAGCCATAACGCAGCTTCTCTTGAAATTTGTATAATAATTTTACATCAGAAACATAAGCATTTGTCAGGTCAGGCTTAGTGCATTTTTCTGTGGAACAAAAAATTTACTTGCTTTTTAATTAAATTTTTTTTACTAAGTTGCAAAATTAAGATAAAATATAATATTAGCTGAAATAATTTTTGCTTCACAATTACTTGATTTTATTTCATTTTGGAAATATCTGCATAAAAATTTCATTGACAATGAATTCCACAGGATATTGGCTGTCTTTGTTTTTACTCATTTCAGTTCTTATACTCACTCCCACCCCTATCATATCTACTTTTGGAAAAATATATCCAGAGCTTTCCCACTAATTGCCACTAATAGCAAATGGAAGAAATTTCTTTTGGATTTACTTCCTAATACTTTTAATTCTAATGTGTTTGATAATTCTCCACATCATGTAACAAAAGCATATCCCTATTTTATGGATCCTTAAATATTTCTGCAAACTTCCTACCTTAATGCAAAAACTTCTAAAATACATTCTTTCAGCAAATATTTTGGGATCACTTAGCTGCTCAGTAACATTCAGTAGTCAGCCCATGGAAACTGTGAGTAAATCACAGATATGTTCCTCCAAACCTTTGCATCTCCATAGCTCTTTTTTGATCAATACTTCCAATAGTGATATATTAGATAAAATTCTCATAGTGTTGTACGGCACCCTAAATTTTTCATAAACCCTGTTACTAGATCCTCATGACAACCAATTCAGAAGAGTTACGAGATTTGCCCTCAGTTGGTTCGTTTAAACAACTTTAGAACTTCATAAGGATTATCTCACTGAAGAACCGTTACACTCATTTAATAGATGAGAAGCTTGGGCTCAGAATGTTTGAGTCACTCCTAGTGGTGGAGCTGGATTCACATACAGTCAGTCTGACTGTAGAGATGGTATCCAAACCATTACAAGACCATCCTAGTATCTCTGGCTCCTGTTTCAATGTTCTTTCCTATAAGCAAAAAGAGCTAATAAATTTAAGACATTTAATTTACATATATATATATTATATATATATATACACACACACACACATACATATATAGAAGTTGTGAATGAATTTATTTTTTTAATCTATGATTTATGTTAATATGAGAAGCCCAATGCCTAAACGTACAGTCTGTCCTTAAGTCATGGATTGATAACTATCTCAAAGGCCTGTGTTTGTTAGCTCTATCAATTGCAATAACCATCAAACCCAACTTCTAAATAAAATGGACTTGAATAAAGCCCCTTACTCTGCAAAACAAACAGAGCATAGAGAATTCTTAGTCCAAGAGTGCTCACTTGACCCAGTGAAAGTTGACTGATGATAGTTTGAGTAGCGCTTAGCCTGACACGCAATAAGAAAATCCAATCAGATCACCTCACAGATTCGAATTCGAAATTCAGGCAATCATATGTGTTGGTGGAAGTTGGCACACAAAGGAGAGATGCACCTTGCAAATAGCAAAGCACTAGAGTAGCAATCTTGCCTTTCTGGAGCCAATGTCTTCAGCATTTTCCTGATTTTTTGTACATAATGCCTATATATACTAAGTTCCTCATTACTTAAAGTAACTTACTTGAGTCTCTATCCCTTGTAATGTGATAAATAATAACTTTGGTTATTATCCTTATTTATTTGGTAATAACTTTGGTTATTATCCTTATTATTCTCTTTACAGAGTACTACTAAAAATTATTTAAAAATTTTTAATCTAAAAGCATTTTTGATAGAATTTCAGAATATGTCCTCATTTTACCAGCGGTTCTGTTCCTATCTTCTGATAGACTTAACCATTTGAAATATTTTATTGAACACTAGCTTTCATAAATGAGGCCACTCGAATATTGCAGCCACAATGCTGATGCCTTCTGCTGACTTACTGTAGCACTTTGGTTGAGGGGACCAGCCTTCTGCTGTGCATCTGGTTTGCTCGTCTTGTTTCCCAGTTTCAGTTGTGTAGCCAGCCAAGCAGAAAAAGGACAATTTTTGATCTGTTCTCATTGGAAAGTAGAAATTTTTAAAAGTATAGTAGTACTGGGCAATCCTTCCATTTTCCACACTAGGAAGACCACAGGGTTTCTCTGAAATGCACGTAAAGCAGAAAATGGAAGAACATATCTAAAACCATGTAATTTGTGAGTAAAGGACAACACATTTTTAAAAGTTTTTGCAGAGACTTCAACAGATACTTTCTTATCGCCTAAATTTTTAAGGTGACTTTATGACAATCAAAACCTGTCTTTTCTTTCTAATCCTAATCAATATGCTAGCAACTCTATATTCCCAACTGTCAAGAAAAAACTGGGCAGGCCACATCCCCAGGGTCAGCTTTCTCTACCTTTGTAAATTAGCACTTTAATAGATATATAGTTCAAGGCACAGATGCAATTTAAAAATTTTAGTAGTTGTGTTAATAAATGCACAAAGAGTTTAAGTTAATTTTAATCAGATAGGTTTTATTGGACCCAATTTTTAAAATATTTTACATTCTTTTCTTACTAACTCTTTAAAATCAGTGTGTCTTATACTTGCATATATGCACTCTTGCTCTTGCTGAATGACTTGCCTGGATTCTTAGCCCAGAAGCCTAATAACACAGATAGCTGCTCCTAAATAACCTGCACTTGCACGACACCCAGTGCTTACTCTCACTAACCTTACACACTAGGCAGTCTAGCTAGAAAGATGTCTAATAGCTAGGGAGTCCACGGGTTATTGATTCATTTGAAACATCCTGAGCTAGACCTATAGTGTCCAAGTGCAATTAGTAATAAAGCCCTCTCACTATCAAAAGTGTCCCTGTTGGTGCAATGTTATAATCTTCCTGCTAATCATTACTTAATGACTCCAAACAATGAACAAATCATTGGGATAAAACAACTCAAAGTTTCAAGAGCAGAACATCTTGTCAAGATTTATGTTTCTTTCTTTTTCAGATTTTTCACATGAAGGTCCCCGCTTATTAACAGAGAATTTAAATGATTCACATTTTATTAGTGTTAAAAATAGATTCCAGCATGAAATTAGAATTAAGGTTCACATGTATCTTATAAATGACTATATCCTTTCAAGTATTTAGATACTGGTCTTCTAAATCCTAAAACCTGGAGATAACAGAAGTTTTCTTTTCTGTTTTCTAACTTATACTATAAGAATAGCTTACTCAAGTGAAAAAGTCTAGGTATTATAACAATATTTTAAAATGTATGTTATAAACTTGATAAGAAATTCAAGTTGTATGAATGTTAGATATGTTTTAGAAAATAAAGAATATAGGGACCAGCAGTTAGCATAATGGCTATGTCACTGGACTCCCACGTAGTCAACTGTGGTGGCTTAAAACTCACACCGGGTGCGTGTGCGTGCGTGCCCCAAATCCCGAGAGGAGAATGGAGAAGGGATTGCGGTGTAGCCATCACCCCTGGGGGATGATTTCTCGCTTTCTGTCTCTCTGTTTCTCTCTCTGTCTGTCTGGCGAGTGCATGTGCCCAATAATGAAAACCTCTCAAAAAAAAAAAAAAAAAAAAAAAAAAAAAAGAAAAGAAAGAATATTAAGATTTAATTTTACCTTCTGCATAGAGTTCTCCTGAGATGATTAATATGATAAAAGCCAAGTCCTTGAACCTCATCTTCAGTGGAACACTTCATAAAATTTTTAACAACCCTAAAGCACTAGAGACACCTCATTAAGTACACAGTACTTCTCTTGAAGAAAAAGTTAATAATTCACAACATCTGAGAGTCCCTTTGTAACAAGTCATGTATTTCACTTAATATATTTTCAACTAATGTTAAAATAGCACAACTACATTAATTGACATGACTTTTCACACCAGAATCTGATAAGGACATGATAACTAGAAGGGCAATAGGACCAGCAAAAGTAACACAAACTGCATTTAAAAACAAACAAAAAAACACAGTAAAATCTTAACTTTAATTCCCAATTGTAAGTTCAGAGGGTAAAGTTCATTTGTGGCCATTGATCTTCACAAATATTGACCACAGGGAAGAGGTGAACTTTGGAACATAAAATAATGGATACCCGAGTTAAATTATGTTGCTGTCTAGACTACACTCTTCAAAGAGATAAATGACTTTAATGGTCTCAAGCAATAGCAGAAGTGTTAACATAGCAATAGCCAACATTTAGAGTTTGTGCTCCATGGCAGGTGGGAAGAGAACTACATGTCATTACTCATTAGGAAAAATGTTTTGAATGTCAACTATGTGCCATAGTCTTGTGATATATAGCAATGAAAATGGATTAAAATGATTGCCTTTGTGGAATTTACATTCTACTGGGTTTTTACATTCTAATAAATTTTAATTTAAATTTAATTAATTTAATTGTAAAGTGGGAGCTGTTATTATTTCAATTTATAACTTTTTATTAAAATAGAACATTAACAGGGCCAGCCCCATGGCTGGTGATTAAGGAAGCTGGATCCCACATGACTTACCACTAAGTTTGAGTCCTGTCCCAGTGGCTTGAAAAACATATTAGGTACACATGCCCCAAATCTCAATGGAGCAGAGGTGAATGGATTGTGGCATGACTATGCCCTGTTGAGGGGTACTTTCTCCCTCTAGCTCTCTCTAGTGAGTGCATGTGCCCTCTGGAAAACTGAAAACATTATATATATTTATATACACATTTTATATATATATATATATACACACACACACACACACATACATACACATACAAAGAGTGTACATTAATGAATTCTCACCAACTGAATACATTCATCCATGAATCCAGAACCCAGAACAAGAAACAATAACACCAGCATCCCAGAATCTACTGCTCTTCAAAGCCATTGTTAAAAGAACAGAAATAGGGAAATGCAGATTAAAACTACAATGTAATAACACTACTCATCCATATAGAATGTTTAAAAGCATGCTTAACTGTTGCCAGGGTTCCTGAGGATATCAATGTGTAAATATGCAAAGAAACATTACATTATTTACCCCCAGAGCAGGGGTCTTATGAAAATTGGAATGGACAAATAAAACAGGTGGGAAAAATGAGAATGCCAAGTGAAGGTGATCATACATTGAAGAGGAGATGGAGAGTGAAGAGACTTTACTGCAAAGTCATCTGGGATTGGCAGGCAAAGATGAGAATAGGGATGACGCATGGACTTCTGCATATTAGTGAGGGTGGTATCAATGCACAAGAAACAAGAACCGTATCTTCAAATGTGACAGGGTCTATCCCCAACAGAATTTCAAAGTGGGTCAAAACTCTACTCCATACAACCAAATGAGGACTGTGTATTGTAGTCCTATTACAGATGATGGGGACAGTCTTATAATTCTTAACCTATCAATCTAACACATGTGCCCAGGAATAGGCAGAGAGGAAGCTTTAGTACAACTGAAGTCACCGCCTGCTGTAAGGGTAACTAGTACAGCTGAGTCAGGGGAGGAAGGGTATAGGTTAAGATAAAAACGTTTAGACTGAGATTCAATGATAGAAGAAAATGTTTTAACATCTGGAGATCATCTTCTTCTTGCATGTATAACTTCATTAAAATATTTCTTGTGAAACAACTAGCTGGTTATATAAATCTTAGAAGAAATTAGTACCAATAACATTTTTAGGCTGGACAAATTATATCCTAGTAGTATAATTTACCAAAGTAAATTGATTATTAATACTACAATTCTGTTGGGCTTGTCCCATATTCTAGTGGGCAAGAGGGCTCAATTCTTCATGGCTGACCGTGGTTTTGGCCAGTGGTTTGAAAAACATGCCAGTGCATGTGGTTTCATGTCCAGAATCTCGACAGGGTGAAAAAAGTACAGGAGAGGGAATTGCAGCATGATCACACCCCATTGGAAGGTGCTTTCTCCTCACTTCTCTTGCTGGTAAGTGCACACACTCAAAAAAAAAGTCAACAAAAATAGTGTTTGGAAAATACTGAGTACCTAGAACTCCAAAAGTACTTTATTAGGGGAAAAAAAGAAAAGAAAGAAAAAAAAAAATCCCTGGGTTTATTTCAGTATACTGCCTTCAACACACTAGTATATTTAGATCTATCCCAATTACATAGCAAGCAAAAAAACTTCAGAGTAGATTTAATCCTCAAGCTATTCTAACAAATGTACATATTAATTAAATAGTTTGTCTGCTTTCTAGCTACTACTAATTTATTACAAAATGTTAAAATAAATTCTGTTCAAACACAGACTTTGGGACCTTGTGAGATTATAAATGGCTACCGGAATTAGGTTTCTGTGACCCTGAAACCACGTACAGACTGGGAACAGTGACCACAGCTCTAGAGAACAAGTTACTGTGAACACAGTCATTTTTGGGTGTGTGTTATGTAACCAGATAGCACATTTCTACTCTAAGTAATGCCATGCCCTTCCCATCTCAAATTACAACCCAATTACTTCAAAGTTAAGGGATTTTAATATATACGGTGGCAGTTTGCATTTTTAAAATTTCCATAATGGGCTCCCTTGCCTACCTGGATGCTTCAGCCAGTCGAGATTACAAAATAAGGATGTTATCAACATGCATTTGTGGGATTATTTTATCCTCTTCGCACTTCTGAGTGAATAACAGAATCTTTGATTTCCAACATGTTTTAGAAAAATGCCTCAACTTCACTATAAAACATGGGTAATAAGCTATTCTTTTCTTTTTAGAAATATGATTATATTCAAATTCAATACTTTAAGATAACAGAAACAACAGTATTATGATCATAGTATGTTTGTTACATGCAAAAAATTTTTAAATAATAAAAGAAACAATAAAGAATATAATAAAGTTTAATTATTTGTTACATTTTTCGAAACTTTGAATACAAAGCCAAATTTTAAATGTTATACACAGAAAGCAAAAACAGTTTACATTTTCATGATTAGCTTTTACATTTTTTTATGCTGTACACACTAAAGATATCTACATTTACTAATAGGGAATGCCAAGGGTATCCATCACCATCTGAATAGCTTGAAGGGGATTCGTTATTTCTTCTAGCTTATCTCTTTTCAAAATCCAATCAGGTTTAAGTCTGTAAAGAAAAAAAAAATGGCATTAATAATTTGCTTCTTAAATGAGTGACTTTCACCTTTTTGTCTGAACTAAAATAAGGCCACTCATGAACACCTCATTTCCCTTGTAATCTTCTCAAAGAGGAAGGACAACTTTATATTATTGCTCACTACTAGCTGCAGTATTTCTCTACAAAAGTAATGCTGGTTTCTTTGAAACTTATGGTATTTAGCTCCACCATGCCTTAGGTCTTTGACCAAACTCCCAGTGTCCTCTTTGTAAGCCTGGTTCTTGGTCTTTTCTCGACTCCTGCCACCGTTCTCAGTGACATTAACATCCATGTGGCCAAAAATCAACGTGGGCAGTTCTTGACCCGTTTCCTTCTATTTCACCTCATTTATCTATTAGACTTTGTCATAATCAGAAAGCACACCATCACTAAAACCTTCACTGACACTTATGTTCTCCAGCCTCCACTCTATTCATCCAAATCACGGCTTTAACAAAGTCATTGAAGCATTTCTTCTACTCCACTGAGATCTTCAGCTCAACTGACCATCTGACCTCACAAATACCCACCATCCATCAGAACTCTGTTCTCATTCCCCTCCTTCTCTAGCTTAGGTGCATCAGTATTACGCTTTTCAATTGTTTGCTATAGGATGCTCACTGGACACAGACAGAGAGAGAGAGAGAAAAGTGAGAAATCACCCTCCCCTCCCTGGGGATGGCCACACTGCAATCCCTTCTTCTCTATTCTTTTCTTGGGATTTTGCACACACAAACACACACACGTGCTCAGCATGTTTTTCTAGCAGCCAGGTCTGGGACTCTAACCATGAAGTCAGTCATGTGGGATACAGAGCCTTAACCCTGACACAACCTCTTAGGCTGCAAATGCTATTTTTAAAAACATTGTTGGAGGGTACATGTGCTCACTAGAGAGAGAGAAAGAGAAAGATGGGGGAAGCATCCTCCCAATGGGATATGGCTATATGACAATCCCTTCTCCTCTATTTCTCCATCCTGCTTGGATCTTGGTTACAATACACATGCACGTGGCATGTTTTTCAAGCCACAGGGCCTAGGATTCAAACCATGGTCCTCCAAGTATGATCCAGCTCCCTTAACCACAAGTGCCATGAACTTGGAGGGCTTTTTCTCCTGTCAAACACATCTGGAAAATTCTACTTGGGTTAAAAATGGAATCAAAGTATCTGCCTTTGCCATACAGTACAGCTAAATATTGCTAAAAAAAAATTTATATAACCAGGCTGACCAATTTAACTTTCAGCCAATAATTGCAAATCATAAATGAGCACTTAAAACTGCCTAGCGTATGCTTTTTCTCCAAGATGAGTGGTTTATTCTTTCCTTTATTCAGATGTCCCCTCCACACACTCTGAGCTGCTTCTGAGTTGTTCATAATCTCATTTTCCATTGAGAAAAATAGTATTAATCAGAAGGTAACTAATGTATCTTCTCACACAAATCCCTATGATATGCATTTCCATCTTCTCATTCTTTTCCCTTAAGAAATTAAATAATTGAAGGCTTAGTCATAATGGTGCATGCAGTTTAATTGCTGTTTTCTGTGGACTGGGAACACACTGAGGACCCAGGTTTGCTTCTCAATCCAACCTAAAGTAGGGTGATGTACACCTGTAATCCCAGCAACTATGGACACTCAAGGAGGATCAAGCTAGAAGCTGGCCTGGGCAACACACCAAGATCCGGTCTAAAAAAGCAGCTTAGTGTGGAAGCCTACAGTCACATCTAGGAAACTAAGGCAACAGGATCGCAACACCGTAAAGCCCTGTCTTAAAAAAAATAATAATCCAAATATCTATCAATTAGTGGGAAAACTGGTATATCCATACAATTGGAATAGTACACAACGATATAAAGAGTGAAGTTCTAATCCATGCTTTGACAAGGATAAATTTCAAAAGCATTACATAAGTGAAAGAATCTATCACAAAAAGCTACACATGACTCCTTTTGTACAATAGCAGTTAAATGGCAAAACTTAAGGTGCTTGTTTCTCATCATTCTCCTGGACTCTTTCTTAAGCTCCACTACACCATAACCACATGTCAGCACCTGGCAGTGCGGGAATTTCCACATTCTTTCTACTTACTGGCAAGAACAGAAGGGTCTGTTTTGTTAAAATGGGTGTTAGCTTACCTGGTTTTTAAAACTTCTAAAGTAACATATCTTAAATAGATAAATAAACTTATAGTTAAAAAAAAAAAAAGTGGGACCAGCAGGTGGTGTGGTGGTTAAGGTGCTGGACGCTCCCAAATGGCCGACTATGGTTCAAGTCTTGGACCTGGTGGCTTCCTTTCTTACTTTACCGCTCTCTCTGTGTCTTTCTCTGATCAAATTAAAATAAAAATGAAGTAATAAATAAAATAAAAATAAATAATTCTTTAACAGAAAAAAAGATTAAAAAAAATAAAAAGGAGTGTGGCTTTGCCAACCAACACCTTGATTTTGAGCTTCTGGCCAAGAGAACTGTGAGGGAATAAGTTTCTATTGTCTAAAGCCATAAAGTTTGTAGTAATTTGTTAAAACAAACCTTAGAAACTACTATGAATCTTACAAAGAACTTCTCTAGAAGGAGAAATTTCAAGAATCAGTGATTATGAGAGGACTAGAGGTTGACATTTTGGCCAAGAGGGACTTCTTACCATTCTCAGACAGTTCTCCTTCATGTAGGGAAGAAAAAAAAAATTGACATAAAATTTATAACAAGCTTCTTAGTCTTAGTGCTTAATTATCAATATAATAAAAATATGTAATAAAAAGGATTTGTTGAATAACTACTTGATATCCAAAGCTAAAGGATATTACTTCATTATTTTCTGACAGTACCTCTTCTAATTTACCAAATGTTCTATTCTTGTTCATAAGTTTTTTTTCTCCATTGTCAAGCTCGTGGAAGTGCTTGATAAATGTTTGTTAAACCTGTGAATGAACAGTGGCACAAAACTAGAGAGTCCACTTAACTGCTTACCTTGAAACTATTCTGGTCCTTACAGGTGTTTCTGGAATAAAGGGAATACTTAGAGAAGGATTCTTCTTTTGTTTATAAGTTATTCTTTCAGTATTAATTTTATGTTTACGTGCTGTAAGCTTATAGAGACTATAAATACGGTCAATAACTTTGGACCTGCTTCGTACATCCTGAAAAAGAAAATGTACATGTATTAAAAATATGTAAGAATTTAATTTTTACTTCTTCTAAGCGAGCAAGATCAATCCCCCAAAAATAAACACTATGCAGTGAACTTTTGAATTTCTGACAATCAGGACCAAATCAAAGTTCAACAGGTAGACTGATTTAAATGATGAACCAATTTGCAAAGCAATTACAGAAACAAATATTCAAAAACTGTACACCTAACTCTACACTGAAAATAAAAAGGAAAGATAATCAACACAGTCTAGCGTTGCTTAATAGTGGGGATACTTTCTGAAACAACTAGGCCATTTTGACATTGTGTGAACATCATATCAAGTATTTACAACCAAATCCACACGGTATAACCTACAATGTTCATAGGCTATACGGCAAAATCTCATGGGACCGCTATCTGTCTTTCTATCCATCTGTTGCCTATCTGTCCATCTATCTATTTATTGTCCATCTGTCTGTTTATCTATTGTCTGTCACTGACCAAAATATCATCATGTGGTGCATGACTGTATATCTGTCATAGCCAGTATCCAGAAGTTGTGAAATTTTACCTCTTCAAAGTTTCCAGTGTCATCTATTTACTTGTCACCTACAAACCCTAGGCCCAGTCTTGTCTGGACTGCTGCATCTCTACACGTGCCTCCTTGCTTAATGGTCACACACACTCTCCCAAAGTCAGTCTTCAGTCAGCAGTGTGATGTAAAAGCTTAAATTAGAACATCAGTCCCTTGCGTAGAGTCTTTCAGAGGTTTCCCAGTGTTACCAGGATCAAGACATCAATCCAGTCATGGCCTGTGGTTACTGGCTTGTTGATGGTGAGGCCCAGAGAAAATAACTCAGAAAAATTACTATAGCAAAACTTAAAATATATTTATGGTTACTATAGGAGGCTGAGAACTTATACACATCTAATTTTCCTACCTTGCTAGGCTAATTTGTTATTCCCTCTAGTAAATGGAAAATGATTACTTAGCTATAATAAATGCTATTTTCAGAATTCAATTTTTTTGCTATCAGAAAGGTAATTATACATATGAATATGAATATATAATTTCTTTAAATCAGTGCAAAAAAGCATGTTTAGACACATAAAAACACGTTTTAGAGTAATAATCACTCTAAAGAAAATGTGTAAAAGTCACAGACTTAAGAACATAGAAAAATAACCTCAAAGTGAGGTAACTACTCACAGAGGCTCGATTCGTTGTTGTCAATAAAACAGCAAACAAACAACAAGTTTTTGTAAAAATGCTTCCACCCTTGTCTGCGACTTTGTCACCAGGCTTTTCTCGATATATCTGCAGAAGCTCCAATAGTGTATCTATGCAATTTTCTGCATCATAAACTGCTGAAGTGGTTTTCTCGTACTTAAAGAGAACAAAATGAAATTCAAAATTGTAAACATATACCTTTAGAAACAGTCCAACTAATAAAAAGAAAAAAAAAGCTTAGAGCCACAATTTTGAACCATTAGAAGCAAATGCAAAGGACTTAATGAAATTGTTTGTTTCTCATTACTGTCATTTCTAGATTTATCTTACATGTCTTTATTTTTTATATTCCACCTACTTCTGAAGTTCCACATAAAATAAATCAAATCTAAACTCTCTGCCAATAAATATCATGAAGTAAATAAAAGCAAGCATTTAAAGATAAGACTATTTTAGTAAGAACCTGTCAGGAAAAAGATAATTTATCTGTGATAGTTAATCATACGGTCAGGTAATGATAAATGCAAAATATGATTAGTTACCCTATCACATGCTTCTTGAGAGGAAGATGAGCTTGCTTTAAAATAAAATAAATTTCATCTTAATAAGTCTAGGATATATGTTTTAATGAACTAATTATGTCATTAGATTTCCTTTGAAATTTGCATGGTGATATTTAATAACAATGATACTAAGATAAACTGTATTATATTAATAGCTAACACTTGTATGGCACATACACTTCATGTACATTAACTCATATAATCCTCTCAATAATATTTTGCGGTGAGTATTATTATTATACCTATTTTACAGTTGTAAGACAAAGTACAGCGGCTAAGCGAATATAATAAGCTGCAGAGCTGGGATTCAAATCCAGGTAGCCTAGCATCAGTCGATATTGTTAATCTCTACTTCTCAATATGACAATATTAGGTAAAGTGCTCTAAGTTGCAATTACAGGGTAAGGAGAGGAAAATAAATCTTCCCTTAATACCTCTGACTGCATACAGTATAGTTTGGTACAGATTTCAGTTAGCACCCCAGAGTCAAAAGATTCACATTCTGAAACATAGCATTATAGGTTAATTAAGTTACAGCATTAACAGATATTGTTCTTTTTTATAGTATTTTGCTAGACATCATTATAATAAGGCTCTACTGTCTTGATATAATGCAATGGGCAACACTGCCAGCTCTAGAGACAAAAATGGATTCAAGGTTGGTAGATGGCATGGTGGTTAAGGGCGCAGGACTCCCACATGGCTGACCACAGTTCAAGTCCCTAAACTGATGGCTTGCTCTCTCACTTTCTCTCTCTCTCTCTCTCTCTCTCTCTCTCTCTCTCACTCTGTCCCTCTCAGGCCAAATTAAAATTCTGATCTACCAATTAACACCCATGGCTTTCCTAGAAGAGGAACCCAATTCACTCTAAAATGAAAAGAACAATATGAGCTACTTTAGATTATTATTGTAAGGATTAAGTTAAAGCCTGAAAAATACTAGCATGTAGGGTAGTGAGTATTTAATAAATGTTAGTCATCATGGTTAATATCATGAAGGCAGAAGAAAGAAAATATTAAAAACTTAGTGCTTTTATCTACAATTATATTAGTAGATAATACATTTTTCCTCCCAAGACTCTTTTATACAAATGCATTTTAACTTAGTGATCTAAGTTCTAGTGATGAACAAGCATAAACTTAATATGCAGGGTCATATTTCTTCATCAATGAGCATTTCATTAATAAAATGGAAAACTACCTTAGCTACATTAAGCAAGACTTGAACAGCATATCTGATGACTTCCATACAAGGAACACTACGATTACAACTTCGGATCAAAACAAATATTTTAGAAATCGCTCCACTCTGGGCCATGTTCTCACAACAAAGAGGAGACAATCTAGTTACCACCTCTGAAAGGGAAAAAGAAATACAGGTAAATTCACAGCAACAAAAAGAAGTTTCAACTAATACTGTATCATCACAACATTTTTTAAACAGTCAAAGGTAAAAATGTATTCCTAATTATATACCAGATACTGTTAATACAAACGAACCTAGGTGTTTTAAAGCTTCCAGAATGGCAGAAAGGTGCTTGTACGTCAACAGGGAATGAAGTGCGAGTGCGGTTCTTTTGTAGAGCTTGTCTTCTTCTTGAATCTCCCTATTAACAAGTTGAAGACTTAGTCGTATAGCTTTAATTTTTGTACAGTCATGTTTCTTCCTCCAAGAGTAGCCTCTCCACAATGCCTTAAATGATAAAACAGAGTAATTTTAAGATTGCAGCCAATAACGTTTTGAGCTTATACCTACATTTAGTTCTGCAATGTAAATATTTCCAGTGAACTTGTACATGATCAGACATGATTTAATTAAAAACTCAATTCAGGTCCTAAAAACCAGGAAAATCGATATGCTTTTGTAAAAAATCCCATAATGTCCCTGTATTTAAACTGAGGCATCATTCACTGACCAAAGATGTCTAAATCTAAAATGTTAGAATACATTGTCATTTCTTAATCATAAGCCTTCTCGAGGGAATTTAAAAAATAAAGAGCTTATCAATAAAAACAAGGTAGCACTGTGTTTGAGATATTCTACTAGCTACTCCCTCAGTTTTTAAAATGGTTATGATTATGCTTTTAAAATGTTAAACATCACATAGATGAACTGTAAATCAAACTTTTGAAAACAACAAGCATGCAATTTTCAGTTACCTGAATTTTAGTTATTCCACTATTAAATTTTTCCTGTTTTTTGTGAAGAAGAAATTGGCGCACTGCTTTCTGTATTACTGATGCTGCTCTGTGTTGCTGGTTCAGATGTTCTTGAACTTCATGCTCCACTTCTATGACGTTATGAGACTTCTGAATCATCTTCTTGTGTTGTATTCTTGCTCGAAACCATCTCTGTTTAAAACATATGAAGTTTTTTAAATTTTACTTTATTTATTTATTATTATTTTTCTATTTGACCAGACAGAATAAGAGAGAAGAAGAGAGAAGAAGAGAGAGAGAGAGAGAGAGAAAGCAAGCTGCCAGGGATCTGGGACTTGAACTGTGGTCAGCCATGTGGGAGTCCAGCACCTTAACCATCATACCATCTGCTGGCTCAAAACAAGAAGTTTTTAAATTTTGGTGGGGGTGGGGGACTTTAAAAATACTACTAAATTGTAGGGACCAGCAGTTGGAGTAATGGCTATGTTGCTGGACTCCCATGTAGTAGACCACAGTTTGAGTCCCAGACCTGGTGGCTTAAACTCACTCCGGGCACGAGTGCATGTATGCCCATGATTCCGAGAGGAGAATGGAGAAAAAGGGATTTTGGCGTGGCAATCCTCCCTGGGGGGTGACTTCTCACTTTCTGTCTCTCTGTCTCTGTCTTTCTGGCAAGCGTATGCACCCAATAACAAAATACCTCTCCAAAACAAAAAAAAATTCTACTAAATTGTATGCCTCATTCTTTATTTTTTTCACTCAATATTTTATATGTAAATGTATCTTAATGTATATGGATAGGATTTTTCTCCAGAATATATTAAGCAGTATTCCTATAAGTTATAATTTAAAAAAAAAAATCCAACCAACAAATGAGCACAGTACATGAAAAAAGCATATTAAAAAAAGCATAGATAAGAACTTAAATAAACAGCACATAGGAAACAATTCTAGAATTGCTAGTGATCAAGAAACTCCAGAACAAAAATGAGATTCCATCTTCTATTCCTTAGAATGACAAAAATCAGAACATCTTCCAATGCCGTGTATTGGCAAGGAGGTAGAAAATACACTCAGACTTTGCTAGTAGGAGTGTAAATTGAGTCCAGTTACATCCCCTGATGTAACTGTAATAATTCCCACTTTATTTCTGCAGCATAGACCATCAATCTACTTCTCTCAAGTCATCCTAACAGCTATATGGCAAAAAGCTAAATACTATATGACCTTAGTATAAGATATTTGAAATTGTTTATTATATATCAAAAATTTCTAACATAAAAACCATACAGTTTTACTGCCAAGGATAAGCTAACCTGGATACAGATGACTGAATTAAGCTGCTTTTTAGCATTCTTCACTGCCATGTAAAGTTTATATGCTCTTTGAATTCTAATAGCAGACAGGTGATAATAGGCAGCTGCTGTGAAGTGAAGACGCCGAATTTTGGCTCTCTGTTCCAAAATCTAAAGGAGAAAAAAATAAGCATTAATAATCACATATTTGACTTCTAAGATAACTATTCAGTGGTTATTGTTGTATAACCTCAGTATGATTATATAAACCAGCAAAAGTAAATTAACACCTGCTCAGTACAATTATATACATTGTAATTCAAACTGATTATAATCCTTTATTGTATAATCTTCCTAACAGCATAACTCATAGTGACTAAAATGATATTTTCAGTACTTTACTAAAGAATAATAGCATTTAATTTAACTAGACTATTCAAAAAGTTAGTGAGGGCTTTGCAAGATATTTACACTGAGAGAAGAGTATGCATATTAAATTCAAAAAGGTTACAGTATCAGACCCAAGAGATGCTGCTATTAAATTAAAGACATGGTGTGAATCCATTTCTTCCGTTAGACAGTTTTAGGCAGTGCCGTGCAGTCCAGCGTTAAGACACATGTAGCATAAGCCCTCTATAGTTGCCTTTGGGTTTCAGACACCCAATTTTCCCTTAATGAACAAATATGAAAAAATTTCTCCTTTTAACTCCAAATGTCATACTTGTGTCTATACCACTACTTCACATATATGAAGTCCAAATGTCGTGAGTTCCCTGCAAGGATTCCCTTTTGCTGAAGACATGGAAGCTACCACAGGAATGTAACTACAATACCTCAAAGAATAGCTTGGTGGTAGCCAGAGGCTGCCTGAATAACAACTGGATCCTTCACCTGTGGAATCTTCTACTTCTTTTGTTAAGATTTATTACACAAGAGAAATTTTGCAGCTTTGGCAATAAGCATCTGTGGGAAATAGTAGGACCAGAGAACAAAAATCTCTGACGACCAATGCTCTGCTCCTCTGGCTCTGCAGCTGCTGAATTCATTTAAGCTAATAGCTGTATTAGTTATATAATTATTCTCTACAATCCATAATTTTTTTTTTTCTGAAACTAACATCAAATACTGCCATTTCTTCCTCCTTTCTTTTTTTTTTTTTTTTTTGAGAAGTTTATGCTATAGGGTGCATGCACTCACCAGAAAGACAAAGAGAGACAGACAGAGAGAGATAGAAAGCGAGAAATCATCCACCGGGGGGATGGTCATGCTGCAATCCCTTCTCCTCTATTCTCCTCTCAGGATCTTGGGCACACACGCACACATGCCTGGTGTGAGTTTAAGCCATCGGGTACGGGACTCGAACCGCAGTCAACTACATGGGAGTTGAGCGACATAGCCATTACGCTAACGACTGGTCCCCCAAATACTGTCATTTCTTGTGACTGAGCTGGTCAAATTAAAATATTTACTCTTGGGATCAGCAGATGGTGTAGTGGCTATGTTGCTGGACTCCCATGTAGTCGACTATGGTTGGAGTCCCGGATCTGGTGGCTAAACCCCCGCCAGGTGCATGTGTGTGCATGCCCAAGATCTTGAGAGGAGAATGGATGAGAAGGGATTGTGGCATGGCCATCCCTCCCCGGGGTGGTGATTTCTCACTTTCTTTGGAGAGATTTTCACTGTAGGGCGCGTGCGCTCGCCAGACAGACAGAGAGAGACATAGAGACAGAAAGCGAGAAATCACCCCCCAGGTGGGATGGTCACGCCGCAATCCCTTCTCCTCCATTCTCCTCTCGGGATCTTGGGCACGCACGCACACGCGCCCAGCGTGAGTTTTAAGCCACCGGGTCCGGGACGTGAACCGCGGTCGACTACGTGGGAGTCCAGCGACATAGCCATTATGCTAACTGCTGGTTCCCTCTCTGTGTCTTTCTAACAAGCACAAGCACCCTATAGCAAAAATCTTTCTAAAAAAAAAAACAAAGAAAAACAAAAACGAAACTTACTCTTTTTCTTACTAACCAACCCAGTGCTTGTAGAACAACTGTGGATATTTAAAATTCAACATATTTTATCCTTTCATATTTCCCAGCCTCCCTGGCTCGTATATATCTGTGTATGATCAAAGCAGCAGATTTCTGCTGAAGGAAGACCTGCCTTCCTTTATAGCCTCTAAAATGTGCTTGGATCAAACAAGCAGCTCGATGGCTCTATAAGGAAAGATTTGTAAGTAACATTAATAGAAAGAACCACGATTTCAACCTAATAGAGGTTCTTGAATTTCTCTGTAAAGTGAGATGGTGTAATTACGTTTTCCCTTACTTTTATCATGTAAAATGTCACATTTCTTAGGTATGAAAAGGTGATGAGGCATTATTTATAAACCCAATTGGTCTGTAGCCAAAACAAAATGTGCAAGCCAGGGTCAGAAGACACCTGGTGCTCTTACCCTCTTATCCTCCGGATTCTTTGCATGGTGAGGGGTAAACGGCACCAACATCATATGGGACAAATTCATTTAATAAAAATGCTGGCTGTCACCTAAGGAGCAGAGTGGCTACTGTAAAGCTAGGAGGGAGTGTCTGTAGCTTTAAGAACCATACTGTACCACCAGGGCCACCTTGGATTCCACAACTGCCTAACAACCTGACAACCAAGCCCATACACAAAAAAGGACATGAAGAAAATGCTCTTAATTTAATTACAAGCTAGGTTTGTTTTTCAACATAACTCTCTTAGGAAAGTCACTTTCTCTCTCTACACGTGTTTTCTCATCTGTGAAATGAGTACGCTCACAGTAACCACCTCATACGCTGTTATGAGGATGAAATTAATAGACATTACAAGAGCTCATCAAATGGCTGGTTTACATTAAATGTCAATAGGCAAGTGATAATAATAGTGGTAATATAATTAAAAGTGAGTATTACCTGAACATTGACATTTTTACATAAAAATTTAAAGTTTGATTTATTTAATAAAAGGTCACAGATATTGCAACTGTTCTGTAACTCAGATGTTAAATATTTTTAATTAGATCACCAATTGATGCTTAATGAGTATGCTACTAAGTGTTGGACTTCTACTAGAGAAAAGATGCTGTATCTATGATTATTTTCTGTAAATAAATTACTTATATACATGTAAGTCACTTCAATCAGGCCTGAGAATATTTTAAAATACAGGTATATATCATAAAAATAGTAGCAAACATAGTATATGCTTACGAGTGAATACAGTTTTAGTTGACTGCAATAGGTATGTGTAAAATAAAGACAGTTAAGTCTTGAAAATAACCCTTTTGTTGCCTAAAGTAGTTCTTTGCAAATGAGCTGGTTTTTTACACCTACTTTTGTCATTATGAAGTGCTCACGAGCTTGTCTTGCAGCAAGTGTAGCTCTCCACTTTCTCTGAATGACAATTGCTGATGCTCTCATATTCAAAAACCTAAAAAGCAGTTATTGAAAAGCAACTTCAAATTACTTAATTTATTCAATAAATATGTACTGCCCCATCCCACCCCCCCTTTCAGGAGAAAGAAAAACAAAGGCAATGACCCAATAAAAGAAAGTGGAAAAGTAAATTCATACCTAAGTTCTAGCACTCAGAATTTTACACATAAACACACACACATATTGACATAATGAAAAAAGAAGTTTTATAATTGGGAATAGTCTAGTGAATAAGAAATATGAAGTTCTACAATTCTAGTATGAGCAAGCATTTTGATATGATTGAAAAAATGAAACCCAGGGACCAGCAGTTGGCACTATGGCTATGTCGCTGGACTCCCATGTAGTCGACTGCGGTTTGAGTCCTGGACCCGGTGGTTTCAACTCACGCCGGACGCGTGTGTGTGTGTGTGTGCACAAAATCCCGAGAAGAGAATGGAGGAGAAGGGATTGTGGATCAACATAGCGATAACAGATAAAACTTGAAAATGTTTCTATATTACTAAACTTTGATCTGTGTATTAATTTAGAAAAATCAGCATGTATTGTTGCCATGTGTCTTAGAAAATAAGGCTGTCAAAGAGAAAAATTCAGCATTTCAATATGGGAAAGTTAAACAGTGATCCTCAATAGCTGATAGTAGTAGCCGTACTTTTTTGTCTTAAGCCTTGTTTCCCCCCATGGAATAGATTTAAGGACTCTTCTAACCCTCTGTGGACTCCTAAAATAGTCTTTTAAACCATCACAGAGAGCTGGCCCCATAGCCTATTGGTTAAAGGAGTCAGATCCCACATGGCTGATTGTAGATTAAATCCAAGCCCTACTGGCTTGAAGAACACACTGGGCACATGTACATGCATAGCCCAAATTCCATCAGGATGGAGAAATGGAAGAGAAGGCATTGTGGATGACCATGCCCCATTGGGTCTTGGCAAGTGCATGGACCCTCTGGCAATTAATAAAAAAAGTGGGGGGGATACCAGCAGGTGGTGTAATGGTTAAGGCACTGAACTCCCACATTAGTGACTGTGCTTCAAGTCCCAGACCTAGTGGCTTGAAAATCATGCTGGGCTTGAGTGTGTACATACCCAAAATCCCAGGAGGAAAATGAAGAAGGGACTGCATTGTGGCCATCTGCCCTAGAGGTGGTGATTTCTCATTCTCCTTCTCACTCTCTCTCTCTCTCTGCCTTTCCCTCACAAGTGCACACATCTTATGGCAAGAAAAGAAAACACACACACAGAAAAAAAAAAAAAAAAAAACTAAAAAGTCAACAAAGAACAAAGCACATCACTGATGCAGTAAGTCGTTGACTCTGGGAATTGGGAAAAATTCTTACATTGTGAAACTTAAAGAAAAAGTAGACAAACCGGTAACAGTTTCTGAAAACATGTTGTAAAAGCCAGAAATGATTCTGAGAGGAGAATGGAGAAGGGACTATGGCGTGGCCATCCCCTGTGGGGTGATTTCTTGCTTTATGTTGCTCTGTCTCTCTCTGGTGAGTACACATACCCTATAGCAAAAATCTCTCCTTTGAAAAAAAACAAAACGACCAAGAGATAAACACCAATAATACCACCATATAAATTAAGCACAGCAAATATTTAAAAATAAATACACAATGTAACATCATATTAGGACTTGGCTACCATACACACATATACTCTTCCAGGAAGCTATGCCACGTTACCGTGCTCTCTCCAATTTGGTACGGATGCAACCCTGAATAAATCTCACAGCTTGTAATACAGCTAGATATTCTTTGCGTGCTCTCCAACATCTATACCAGGCTTGAATTTTGCAGGCAGCTTTCACTTTAGATAAATACGTTTTGGCTTTATATCTCCTCCATACAGCCTATTAAACACATAAATATAACAAGTTTACAGTGAGTTGCCATTTTTTTTTGTAAATTTAGAGAGTATTAAAGACAATTAATATAAAGGAAATGCAGACAAAAATCAGTTGCAGAAATATAATCATAGCATATCTTGGACATGGGGAACCATCTAAGAACAGTGCCACAGACTATAGTGAACACCAAAAACACGTTTATCACACATATCCCTCACTGGCTGCCAACCCCACGTAACACAACCTTACCCAATGTTAAAAACTGTAAAATATGCATAATATGTAGAAAGCCAAATATGTACATTGTTCTTGCCACCTCAACCCACCTGGTAGAAGAGAAAGAAAACAAACATGCTGACATACTCCACTTCCTGTGGAGAAAGGGGAACTCTTCCCACACTATATCTTCTGGGTTGCATTAGCCAGGAGCAAAATCCTGAGCTCCTATTTATCACAGGCTACCAAATTTTCTTATCTGGACTACCTTGTGCCTGAATAAAGTTTTAAATAGCAGCTCCAATTTACTAATCACTGAGCACTATATGCCCTTACGGTACCATAGGCAGGTAACACTATCATCTGTAGTCTAGCGATGAAGGAATCAAGGCCCACAGTGCTCGTGTAACTTACTGACATCATACAGATTCATAAGTGCCAGAGCTACCCTGTTTAATATCTGTAAAAATCTTATGAAGTAAGATATTAAGACCTGTTTTACAAAAATAAAAACTGAGGATGAGAAAGCTTTGTTACCACATAGCTAGAAAGACTAAAGATATAAACCCAAGTCTATTTGGTTCCAAAAACTTCTACAACAAATACTGCAGTCACATTTTATATGAAGATTATGGTATTTTTTTTTTAAGTTTCATCTATTTTTATTTTACTTACTTCTTTCATGAGAGAAAAAGATTGAGATACACATACCCAAAAAGGTCTTCTCACCACGATCCACCCGTTATTCAGTTCCAGCCAGTACCTGTGCCCAGCAGGTACAGAAAGAGCACCAAACACACATCTGGGACCTCCCACTGAGTCCAGCATCACTGTATTACTGCCCACTACTGCTACTGGTCCTGGATTAGGTTCTAAATTCAGTTGATAAGGCAAGAACAATGTATGGCAGAAATCGCTCCTAGGATATCCTTAACTCCCCTAGAATATATTATATATGGTTTTTATGTAAACAAACTTAAATATTGACATATACACATACATAGTAAATCTTTTCATTTATTATAAATAAGAGTGTATTATATACATTTATGCTCTTTTATATATATAATAACGAACACAAATGTATTCAGCTATGTGAAGTATAAGCTAAAGATTCTCGAGCTCTGATGCTCATCAGAATCACGTGGGGAACTTTGAGAACTCCTAATACCTGCATTGCTTCCCACACCAACTAAATCAGACTGTCCAAAGGTGGGAGCCAGGCATTAGTACTTTTAAAAATTCCAGGTGATTCAAATGTGAAGTCAAGTTTGGGACCACTGGCATATGCCAAAAACTACATGTGCAAAATATGATTTTATATTTTAATTCTGTAAGAGGAAAAAGTTGAATTTTCACAGGATTATTATTTTAGCTTTTCTAATCATTTCAGCTGAAAGGAACCATAATTCAAATACATCCAATTAATTTCCTTCAATTCTGAACTTCTCGGTAGCTTTTGGAATTTGAACACTCCTTTCTTCCTTCCTTCCTTGATTCCTCATTTCTTAATACCATAATGTCTTAGGTTTTTGTTGTTGTTCCCTCTTAATACCCTGTGCTGGTTTCTCCTTTCTTTGTCCCGGAATCTCGATGTCCTTCAGGGCTCAAGTCCCAGGCCTCTACTTTCACCCATTCTGTAGGATCTTTCTAAGTGATTCCGTTACTCCCACAATTTCAAGTTATCCACCTATGCCAGTACTATACAATGTGCTCCTAAATGCCATACCATTCTCCTAAATCCAGACAGTCACCTGGCTTACTAGACATCTCAGCTGGGACTCTGCTAGGTACTTCAGACTTCATGCTCTCCTGGCTTCATCAGTTTCAAAATTTGCTCCCGTCTTTCTTCCCTACCTCAGGGAATGGTATATCTGTTGTTACTCAAGTCACAAATGCAGCCTGGTTCCTTGTTCATGCTCTACCTAATGCCAATTCCACCCTTCCAGTCAAACTAATTATTTTTTAAGAATTACTTACTTAATTTTATTTACCATTATTATTATTTTTTAAATTTGCTACAAGGCATGTATGCTCATGAGTGAAAAAGAAAGAGAGAGAGAGAGAAAGTGAGAGGGCAAGTCACCAGGTTCAAGATCAGAACCATGGTTGGCCATGTGGGAATCCATTGCTTCAACCACCATGCCACCTGCTGGCCCCTAAACTAATTCCCACAGGCACTAGCCTGCCATTATGCACTGTAACTATCTCTCACCTGACCTGCAGTCCTGACCCACAGCTTTCGGATGGGCTTCTGTGCTTCTGGTCTTGCTCCTTTTCATCTGCCACGAAATATGATTCTGATCTTCTCTTGCTTATTTCCTCTAGACCTTCTGTTGGTCTAGGGAATAAAAACTGAACGTCTATGTCTACAGCTCTCTACATTCTTACTGCATTGCCATATCACTTCTCATTGCTCTCTAGTTTTGGCTTTTTCCATGGTTATCTCCTGAAACAGGAATATTCCTCCCATACATTTTACCTGGCTGTTTCTAATTCATCCTTCAGTTTAACAGTTCAACTAAAATGTCACTTGCTTTGGGAAGCTATCTCTGGCCACTGATATTAGCATAGGGTCCCCTCTCTATGGTCTCAGCAACATCACTTCTTATTTTATATAATACAATTATATGAAATAAAATCATTTTACTTAATTAAGCTCTTTGAAGAGAGCATTCTAAGCTCCACACCAACCCATCAGGATACCAGTATATCATACCTAAGTTCAAATCCCAGGTTTGTGCAGGTAGAACAGAAATACTGGACGGGCCCAGATTCAGTTCATAGACTGGCCTCTTTCTGGGCAACACTGACAAGTTACTTAACCTTTTTCAGTGCCTCACATCTTAAGAGATAATATTCTATATTCCTTACATATTTGGAGAACAGATTAAAACAAAATAATATGAAAATGCTTTGGAAACCAAAATAACTTATCTCTCTAAAAAAAGTTGTCTCACTATTGAATGTCTTGCTATTGAGTTGTACAGAAAGTTATATAATGCATTTTTGCATAGAAAAATATGTCAAGACTTTTCTGATGACCTAATAATATAAGTAGCAGACTTATGGTTAACAGACTACTAGAGGGATAAAATGATCTTACTGGACCTAAATTACATCGAGTAACACTTCACCTTAGTTTATATTTTTCATTAAAAAAAATAGCTTTGCCAAACAGAGTTAACTCTCTTCTCAAAATTCCTCCAAGAGAGCTACAATGCACATCTATAGAATGCATCAACCATAAGGTAACCATGAGCAGAACAATCATAGTTTGGTGCTGTCTTGGCTGAATTATGGCTGGTCCCCTTTTTCTACTTTCAAAAACGCTCCACTTTGAAAGATAAATAATCCAAATATTATTATATAGTTGATCCAAGTAGTACTCTTTCATGAACTGCTTAAGTCCATTTTAAAAATTTTAAAACACGGTCCGAGAAAGACTAAAAAGTTTTATATTAAAAGGATATATTACATATACAAATACCTGAATTTTTATGGTGCTACTTTTAATTTTCTGAAATTTCCGTTTCTGTATAAATCCTCTCGTTCTAGCTTGAATCATGATAACGTTGCGTCTGATTTGTAAATACACCTGTCTTTGCTGTCGGGCAGACAGAAAGGCTCGGTGGTGATGTTGTAAAACCACCACTGCTTTTCTATACAGTAAAAATTGTTTTCTGGTTTGCCATGTCCTGAAGTAACGCTGTAAAGTGACAGCAGCTCTTCTCTGCTGGATGAACCTTCGTCGACACATGGCCATCTGAAGAAAGGACTGAATTTGTACGGCAGCACATTTCTGAGTTTCCAGTTTTCTTGTGACCATTTTCTGAAAAGCTTTTTGCCTTGTGACTGCAGCTGTACTTTGAGAATGATACTCTGCTTCCTGTGAACTGGCAAGTGAAGTTCTATTTCGAATCATAACACCCCCACTTTGAACAGTTTCATATTGGGTTTCAGTTCCGAGACAGGAGAATGCAGATTGGTTAGCAATGGCTGTTGTCTTTCCCTCAGATATGGTTTTCAATTTCTGTCGAACTTTCATGCCTCTAAAAGCAGCCTGAATGGTTCGTACAGATTTCTGAACCACTAAAAATTGTTTTCGTTCCCTTTTCACACTGGCATATGACCTATAATAATTCTGTATAATAGCAATTGCAGTTTTCTTTGCTCGATAGTCACCTTGGGCCCTGTGCATTCGGTAGAGTGACTGAATTAGTGTGGCAGCCAGGTGCATCTGCTGTATATGCCTTCGTGCCTTAAAGCCTCTGTAAGAAGCCTGTATACAAGTAGCTGCTTGGTTACGCATTGCTGCGCGTGCTCTGTATCTTCTTTGAATAGAAACTACTGTTGCTCTAAGGTGGAGATAATGCCTCCTCATTTGAAAGGTTTTGAAGTGCTTCTGAACAATAATGGCAGCCTGATGTTGTTTCTGAATGTGTTTGCTGATGTTCATGTCCTGAAAACCTGCCTGAGTAAAAGTTGCTGCTTTCTTAAGTTCACCGGGTTGAAGAGCTGTCTGTTTCTTTTTATTTTCTCTATATTTTTCTTGTATTACTTTTGCAGCCCACTGAAGCCTTTGGTAGAAATAGTAGTGCCTATACATTCTATAAGTGCTTTGTATTATGACAGCAGCTCTGTGTCTTTCCCTCAAAAGCTGTCTTGCTTTCATTCCTTTGTATGCAGACTGAATGACAATGGCAGAACGCCATCGTCTAATATAATTTTCTCTTTGCAATTTTGCAGCTCTATATGTCCGATAATGTCGCTGAATTAGAACTGAGGCCTGTTTCCAAGTCTGAAATGCCACGTATGTTCTGTGCATTCGGAAAGTAGCCTGAATGAGAACCGCGGCCCTTTGCATTTCTTGTAACTTCCTCTTTACTATCAGTCTTCGGTACGATGACTGAATCACAATGGCTGCCTTTCGTAACTGCAGGAACTGGTGCAACTGATGCTTGGCACAAATGGTGGCTCGGTATTTCCTCTGAACAGAAATAGCAGCTTCCTTGAGTGAGAGGAATCTTCTCCTCACCACTAATGATCTAAACCTACTCTGAATAAGGGTCGCAGAGGAATGCATCCTTTTCTGATGTCTTCTAGCTTTCATGCCCCTAAATGCAGCCTGCAGGATCACGGCTGAATGTCTTTGTTGGAGGTAATGCTGCCTCTGCAGTTTCGCGGCTCTGGTTGCTCGGTATCTCTGTTGGATCACGACTGAGGCCTGTTTCAAAGCCTGGTGTCTCACACGTGCTCTGTGCATTTTGAAAGTAGCCTGGATACAAGCAGCAGCCATGTGCATCTCTCGCATCTTCTTCCTTACTGTCCATCCTCTGTATAATGACTGGATTTTAATAATTGCCTTTCGTAACCAAAGGAACTGTCGTAAGTGATGTCTGGCATGAAGATTTGCACGATATTTTCTCTGAATCCAAACAACAGTTTTCCTGAGCGATAGGAATCTTCTTCTCATCATTAGCATTCTAAATCTTCTCTGAATAAGGGTTGCAGCTAGATGCATAATCTTCAAATGTCGTCTAACTTTCCAGCCCCTGAAACCAGCCTGAATGCGTATCACAGAATGCCTCAATTTGTTATACCTTTGAAACTGCATGTTTCTTTCCTTCAGTGCCCGATATCTTTGTTGTACTGTTTCTGTTACCCTTTTTAACTTATTAAAATATGCTTGTTGTTTGTGTCTTCTATAGTATGACTGAATGAGTGTGGCTGCAATCTGCATCTTTCTTAGACTCTGTCTAACTCTCGCTCCTCTAAAACTTGCCTGAAGAACATGGATGGCTTTCAAAATTGTCAGATACTTTTCACGCTGAACTCTACCTTGATAATATGCTCTATATCTTACTTGAATGACAATAGCCGCTGTTCTCATTTTATGGTATTTCACTCTTGACTGATGCATTTTAAATGTGGCTTTAATAAAAGTGGCTGCCATGTGCATGTGTTTAATATGTCTTCTTACTCTAATCCCTCTATAAACGGCTTGGATTTTAACTGCAGTCTTCTTTAAAGTAAGATATTCCTCATGTAGATGGCTTGCAATTGTAATACCTCTATACCATCTCTGAATTGTAATAGCTGAAGCTCTATACATTGCATATTTCTTTCTGGCTTTATAAGCTCTATATGTACACTGAATAGTGACTGCTGCTTTGTTGCAATCCTTTATTCTTTTTCTCACTTTCTTACCCCGATATGTGGACTGTAAAACTACTGCAGCTGCTTTTGTTTTCAGATATAATCGATGCTGTTTTCTTCCAGTACTGTAAGCCCTATAATACATTTGAATCAGAAGAGCAGCTTTTTTCATGGATTTCCACTTCTGTTGTTGCACGTACATCCTATAGTATGACTGAATGATGACAGCACACTTGTGTTGCCTTTGAATCTGTCTTCTCAGTGTCCTTCCCTTCCAGGCAGACTGAAGTATCAGGACTGCACGACGGAGTTCAAGATACTCCATACGTTGTTTCTTTCCTGCGGTCCATGCTCTCAGATGTTGTTGGATGACTATTACTGCTGTTTTTAACAATCTGAACTGTTTCTGGGCCCTGACCATCCTAAAACAAGACTGAATCTTCATTGCAGCTTGCTGTTCCCTTCTGATCTGTTTCCGAACTTTCCAGCCACGGTAGGCTGACTGGAGAGAAATCACAGCTGCTCTCATCTTCAAAAAATGTGTTCTTACATTATAAACAGTCTTGTATGCCCTGTACCATCTCTGAATCTTCACAGCAGACTGCAGCACAGACTGATATTTCACCCTTTTACTATGCCCCCTAAAGACAGCTTGAATTTTAAGTGCGGCTACAGATTGTCGTTTTATGAGTTGGCGCACTTTATAGCCTCTGTAAGCTGCTTGCAGACAAGTCGCTGCTCTTTTGACTTGCAAGAAGTTCTTCCTCTCGTAGACTCGTGCTTTGTATGCATGATAGTGTTTCTGGATGACAGCAGTTGCCTTATAAATTTTCAAGTAGTGCTGCCGCATCTTTCTCATTCTGAAATAAGACTGGAGTGAAACAGCAGCTTTTCTTTGCAAACTCATCTGCTTTCGGACCAGGAAGCCTCTAACCAAAGCTTGCAGCTTGATACAAGATTCCCGCATCTGTGTATATTCTTCTCTCTTTTGTGTAGCTATTTTTTGGGAACGGTACCATTGCTGGATAAACACTGCAGCTGTTCTTAAATGTAAATATTGTTTACGTGTTTGCTTCATCTTGACAATTGATTGCAATTTTATTGTAGCATTTTTCAGGCTCAGAAATTTCTTTCTGGAAATATAAGCACGATAATATGATTGAATCTTTACAACAGATGTGAGAATCCGAATAAATGTTTTCCTGGCTTTCATTCTTCTATATGCAGACTGTAAAACAATGACAGCAGAACGAGTTTTCTGATAAGATGCCAGAACTCTCCTGGCTGAAAGGTAAGCTCGGAAATGGGTCTGAATTACAAGTGCTGCTTCCTTCATCTTCTTATATTTCTGTAATTGTTGATGTTTTCTTATATGTGCCTGCATTTTGATAACAACCTTCTTGAGGTTTAAAAATTGCAGTCTGACTTGTCTCATCCTCCAATATGACTGAAGAACATGAGCAGCTCTAGCTCGTCTGTGTAAGTTACGAGCTTGCATTCTCCTATAAGCAGCCTGAAGCTGAAGGGCTGCAGCTCGTTTCTGCAAATACTTGGTGCGCTCCGTCTTCCCATTCAGATATGCTCTGAAGTACTTCTGAATAGTCAGTATACACTCTTTTTTTCTTTTATATAATTTTTGGGCTTGAAAACACCGAAATCTTCTCTGAATGGTAACAATACAAGATCTAATATACATATATTTCCTCAGTTCTTTGTGCATTCTATACCATGACTGTATGATAACAGCAGACTTTTCTTCTTTAGCGCGTTTCCTGAAATGCCATTCTCTGAAAGCTCTTTGTAATATTCTTGTAGCTTTTATTTGTAATAGCATCTTACATCGCTTCCATCTTCTGAACCTAGCCTGGATTACAAGGGTAGCTGATCTTAGCATTTCATATCTTTGTTGATCTTGTTTTCTTCTTAAATAAGCCCGCCAATATCTCTGAATTGTAACTGTTGCCCACAGATATCGTTTATAAGATGTGACAGCAATTATCATTCTTATTCTAGATTGCAGGATGATTGAGTAATGTTTCAACTTGAGAAATCTTTTTCTAGTGGAGTATCTTCTCCAATATCTCTGAAAAAGGTAAGAAAAGTCACGAGGTAAAATAGACATAACTTTCTATTCTTAGCACTTTTGAAAATACTTATTTTTCTAACATTTTGCATAAAAATTAACACATTAAATTAGAAAAACAATGAACTTTTGCTAGATATTATCTGTTTTGTTCGTAGATTAGTCTTTACATTGATACATCTGCAGCCAATTCAGAACTCTGTCTTAACCTAATTTTATTTTTATTGCTTTTGTATTTCAGACTTATAAGAAACACAAGAAGGTTTATGTTATATTAGAAGCAACTGTCAAAATAAAGCAATAGCATTCTTTGCTATTTACTGATTCTACGTAAATGTAGTACAAAGGAGACTCAGATTCAATTATGGTAGGGTAGGAATGCAAAATGGTACAGTCACTTTAGAAGATAGCTGGGCAGTTTCTTAGAAAGCTAGACATACCATTACCTCACAATCCAGAAATTCACACTCCCAGGTACCCACCCAAGAATTGAACACTATTTCCATACAAAAGCCTACACACAAATGTTTATAGCAGTTTTATTCATAATTGCCAAATAGTAAGAGAAATTAAGATATCCTTCAATAGATGAGTGAATAAAAAAACTATAGCATATCTGTACAATGGAATATTTTTCACCAGTAAAAATAGTGAGTTATCAAGCAAGAAAAAGATATAGAAGAACACTAAATGCATGCTAAGTAAAAGCCAGTCTGGAGCCAACAAGTGGCATAGAGGTTAAGGCGGGTAGATCCCACATAGTCAACTCTGCGGTTTGAGTCCTGGAATAAGTGGCTTGAAAATCATGATGGGCTTATATACATGTGTGGCCAAAATCTCAAGAGAAGAATAGAGAGGCGATTGCAACATGGCAATCTACCCTGGGGGGTGATTTCTCATTTTCCCTTTATCTGCTGAGCATGTGCCCTATAGCAAAAAAAAACTTAAAAAAAAAAAAAGACACTACATAAAGTTGGCATCATTAATGAGTTTTACTAAACTGTTAAAGAAACAATGTCAATTCTATACAATCTTGTCCAGAAAATATAAGAGAGAAGGAAAATTCCCGACTTATTTAATAAAGCCACAATTACCCTGAGCAAAACCAACAACATAGTACAAGAAAATAGACCAATATACCTCACAAACAAACGCAAAGCTCTTCAATGAAATATTAGAAAATAGAATTGAGTAATACTTAAGGAGAAAAACACATCATATAAGTAATACATAAGATGAAAAATACTGATTCTATTAGGCCATCAGGAAAGTCATGATGCATTTTTGCATAGAAAAACATGAAAAAATAAGTCATGACTTTTCCAACAACCCAATGTTTTTCTATGAAAAAAAATGCATCATACCTTTCCTAACAGGCCAATAGTAATGTACGTTTACTCCAAGATTTGAAATCAATAAATGCTTACAGTCCAGGGAAGAAAAAGCACATGGTACATTCACTGATGCAAAAAAGATGTTTGGTGAAATTCAAATCTATACATGATCAATTCTCAGTAAACCATAAAGCAGAAATATCTTCAGACCAATAATAGGTATCTACAAAATACCTACAGACTATACCACGCTAAATGTGAATATTAGACTGAGAACCAGGCACGGATGCTGCACCTGATCGCCTCGTATTCAATATTATACTGGAATGATTAGCCCGTGAAATAAAGGGAAGAGAAAAATAAATAAATAAATATATAAATATAAATACAAATATATATATATATGGATTGGAAAGGAAGAAAAGCATACAATATGACTATCTACGCAGAAAATCCCAAGGAATCTAAAACAGAAAACAAAAAATGAACATATAATCTAAGTGAGTTTATTACCAGTGTTTCAAGATTCAACATTAACATATAAAAATGAGCATGTCTTTAGAAAGCAAAGAAGGCTCAACTGTTGTGAGGCTACTGTGCAGTAACTGAGGCCACATAAGGAGGTTCCCAGCCTAATCTGAACAGGCCAGGCACAGTGGCATGTGTCTGTGGACATTGCTAACTGGAAGGCTGAGACAGAAGGATTGTGATGTGGCAAAACCCTGTCAAAAATACTTTTCTCTATCCTGCTCTGTCTCATAAAAAAGATCAAAGCAAAATTAAAATAAATTTTAAAAGCAATGAACAAACAGAAACTTAAATTAAAAAGCCACATCAGGCCAAATGGTGAGGCGGTGGTCAAAGTGGCTGGATCCCATATGGTTGATTGTATTATTCCAGTTCTAGACCTGGTGGCCCGAAAAAACACACTGGGTATTATATAGGTGTACCCAAAATCCTAAAAGAAACGAAGAAGAGATTGTGGCTTAACCAATCCCCATGGGGATGCCTTCTCATATTCCTTCTCTGCCTTTCCCCAGAAAAAAAATAAAAAAGTTCCTAAATAAATTAAATACTTAGGCATAAGTCTAACAAAAAGTTGATGAAAAAAAATCAAAGATCTGGGACCAGCAGGTGGCATGTTGATTAAAGTGCTGGACACTCCCACATGGCTGAAGGTAGTTCAAGTCCCAGACCTGGTGGCTTGCTTTCTCACTTTCCCTCTCTCTCTCTGTTGTTCAAATTAAAATAAATGAATGAATAATAGAAATAAATAAAATAATTCTTAAAAAAAATTAAAGTTCTAAATAAATAAAGAGATATACCATTTCCATGTACTGGAGCACTTAGCATAGTAAAGATGTCAGTTAAACTCCAAATATCTGTAGATGTAATGCAATTCTGATCAAAGTTTGACAGGAATTTTTAAATATATAGAAAAACTGAATGTAAGACTTATCTCCAGAAAGTCAAAAGAACAAGAATAGCCCACCCATTTGGAAAAAGTATAAAGTACGAAGAATCACTACACCCAGTTTTAGTATATGTGCTGCTAAAGTAACCATGATACAGCTTCCTATTTTAAGGCCTATGATAAAGTTACATTAATCAAAGCACTGTGGTTTTGGAGATGGTAACGACACATGTATCAGTGGAAAACAAACTCTACAAGTACACTAAATATGGCCAACTGATTTACGACAAAGATGACAAGGCATTTCAACAGAGGAAAAGAATATTCTTTTCAACAAATGGTATTAGAATAATTGGACATCTACATAAAAAAGTGAACCTTGACCTTGTGCCTTAGACAAAAATTAACACATAATACATCATAGGTCTAAATTAAAAATGGAAAACTGTAAGACTTAGAGAATACTTGGATATGACACTAAAAGCACAATCCACAAAAGAAGAAAAAAATGATAATCGGATTTCATCAAAATGAAACACTTTTGCTATGCTTAGATGGTATTTAAAATAAAAAGACAAGCTACAGTCTGGAAGAAGTCCTCTGCAAAACACTGAGAAAGAAGGCAGCCTTATCTTCTAGATACCCAGATTTCATGTAGAAACTATACTGCAAAGTCTCAAAGATAGACAAAAGAACCAATGAGATAGGAAAAAAGTTAGAAATAGAACCACATGAGGGGACCAGCAGTTAGTGTAATGGCTATGTCGCTAGACTACCATGTAGTCGACTGCGGTTCGAGTCCCGAACCCGATGGCTTAAACTCACGCCGGGCACGTGTGCGTGCGTGCCCAAGATCGCAAGAGGAGAATGGAGGAGAAGGGATTGTGGCGTGGTCATTCCCCCTGGGGGGTGATTTCTCGCTTTCTATCTCTCTGTCTCTGTTTGTCTGGCGAGCACACGTGCCCTATAGCAAAAACCTCTCCAAAAAAAAAAAAAAAAATAGAACCACATGAATAGGAATACTGACGTACGCTGAGGGTAGCACAATAAGGGGCAAAGGTGGTTGTTTCAGTTCATTATACTGAGACAACTGATTAGCACTACATAAAGAGAAAAATGATCCCAGAAGAAGTCATATGAAAAATGAATCTCAGGCAAGATCTATATGTGAAAGAATAACATCGAAGACTTAGAATATAATACAGGAGACTATCTTCAAGGCCTTGGGATAAGAAAACACTCCTTAAATGGTATGTAAAAGAGTACAAACCATAAAAAAAAATTAAGAACTTCTACTAATAAGACATAAAATGTTAAGTCACTTCCTGGCAAAAAATATTACAATACTCTTATTCAGCAAAGGTCTGAAAACCAGAATCTATAAAGATCTCTTATAAGTCTACATTAAGACAATAAAACTGAAAAAAAATTTAAAATATCTGAAGTAATACTTCACAATACAATTTAACATCAAAAATTAATTTATATGTAGGCTCACTGGGAAAGTTGTGATGCATTTTTACACAGAAAAATGTCATAACTTTCCCAACGACCTAATACATATAAGGAATATGTCTATTCTATGAAGTAGGTATGTCGCTTTTTTTTTTTACTAAAAATTATTTTGGTATTCCATAGCTAAATGTAAGCTCTATTTCACTTACATGCCAACTATTGATAAGTAGGCAAATATAAATATTGAAAACATTACGAAATTTTTTCCTTTTTCCTTAAAAAAATTATTAAGTTTTTTTAAATTCAAAAATTAGTACAGGATACTATACCTGAATAACAGATGCTGATTTATTTTGCACTTTTTCCAGTTTTTCCTTTAATTTTCTCTGTGCTAAGATTCTTCGCCAGTGTTTCTGAATGACCAGCACTGCATGAACCTCTTTTTTCAGTCGTCGTTTGGTTAGAAAATTGATTACAGCTGATTGAATAATTCTTGCAGCTTTGTCTCTTTCCTAAAAAAAAAAGTAGCAAATGTGAATTAAATATATAGCCACTTAAATTATTCTTTGTAAAATAGTCATCTATTAAACATTAATCAAATTGGTCTTAGAAATACTCCCTCTTCAGGCTTCTTGAACTCATCTTTGGAATATAAATACTTCTAGACAAGTGGAAATGGCTGATGGATAGGCATGCAGATATAATTGCATGACAAAACAAAAATGACTAAAGAAATACACTAGGATAAAAAATATAGGTATGTCAGACCCTCAGTAATGAATATAAAGGCAATTTGAAGGGTAAGGTGATGCTCTTTATTTCTAATAAAGGATAAAATGTACCTAGTTTCAGGGCAAGCTAAATAAACTTGCTCATTGAAATGTTAAATTAGACACTTGATGCCCAGGTCCAGGTAGTACTAGTTGAAGTCAAACTTATCACAGCATGAAAAAATTATAGGAAAACTCCTGCTTCCAATAGGAAGAAGGAAAGAGCTGAATCAAGCATCTCCAGTTTATCTCAAGTTTACAAAACAGATAAATTATTCCACTTCTCCTGAAGCTGACTAAATGGAAAGGTGGACAGAGGATGGAAGACAACTAGTGAAGAAAATATCAGCAAACAGGAAAGAATATCCATACCCCCCAAACCCAAAACACAAGCACAGAATCATTAAATTTATCCCTGCAACTTCATTATCTCTGTAAAATATAAAAAAAAATATTATCAAGAACCAATCAACTGCGACTTATTAAATACAATTCACACTATAGCATTTTAGTTTCTAAAAGTACCTGGTGGTATTTTAGGTACGTTTTTAGTTTATATTTTCTCCACATGGTTTGTATAAGTCGAGCAGCTCTTATTTCTTTGCGAAGATCCAAAAGCCTTGCACAAAGAAACGACAAATAGGTAATAACAACCTAAGAGAAAAGATGAAAACAAAAGGTTAACAGAGAAATAAAACTATCACCCTCTGAAATGCATTAGTTATTAAGAAACTCATCTTCTGCTTACCTTTTCATCTGGAATTGTATTTGACATGTCTGAATGATGAATCATAGCAGGTACTCCACCAAGGTCTCTTACTGCAGAGCTAATCAAATGAAAATTTTTCTTTTCATTTTCTAAGAGTTCTTTGTATAATCCTGAATTATTTTCTATAATGTAAGTGAAAGAGATAAAATTAGAATTATGTAGATGAAAATCAGATATGGCAAGGAAGTGAGAAAGATTATCAGTGAAAAGGGACGAACCATTTTCAGATGCTTTAAGAGACATATCCAGAGAACTATCATCGGATTCAGACGATGAATTTAACACCACGGAACCGGTCTGGGTGCACTCCACAGTCTGAGTAGTGCGCTGGCATATAGCGTCAAAAGGCACATAGCAAGGATGGTAGTGGTGGATCAGGTAACACAACACCCGGCCGTCAGAGAATGACACTGTGAAGTTCTCCACCTGATTGGAAATACCAGGAAAATACTTACTGTATTTAGATAGTAATACATAGTAATAGAGATATAATGGTATTGTAGTCTATTATTTTCTTTAATAGGTAAGCATATCTAGTAATTACTACTAGCACCTAGTAAAATACCATAAACATAGCCAAATTCTCAATTATAAAATACTAACCATGCCAAAAGTAGGATTCCATTATAACATTACTGTCCTGGGTTGGACAGTGTCCTTAAAAAATCGATGTTCTCTCTAGAACCTCAGAATATGACCATATTTGGTAACAGGGTCATTACAGATGTAACTAAGATGAAGTCATACTGGAATAGAGTGGGTTCTTAATTCAGCATGACTCTCTGTGTCTCTCTTCTCTTGTAAGAGACAGACACACAAACAGACATGTGTAGACCGCCATGTGATGACAGAGGCAGAGGCTGGAGTGACACATCTACGAGCCAAGGACCTCCAGGAGCAATTAGAACTTGAGATAAAGGTATCAAACAGTCTCCTGAAGCAATTAACGAGAGCATCGCCTGGCCAAGACCTCAGATGTCTAGCCTCTATTGTGTGAGAATGAATCTCTATTTTAGTCACTTAGTTTGAAGTACTTTCTTATGGCCATCTTAGGGCACCACAACAATTACAGTCAAGTCTCATTATTCATGAACACTGACTTAGCAAATGCTGAGTCACTGCTTCTAGGGGAAATATGGGGCTAGGTTCTTGGGAGCCCTGGTCACACTGTGATCATCCAATCAAAACACAACCTTATTTTATGTGTCTGATTCAGCAACATTAATCCAATGGCCAGCAGCATTCTAATTCATGCATGATTAAACCTTATTTAACACACATATTTTCTGCAGATTCTCGACATCACTGTCTTCTCTTAGGAACACTAAACTTGAGCCTCACTTTAAACGGGGAGATCACACAAAAAAGCACCAAACGTGCAAAAATCACAGCCTTACATAGACCATGAAAAGGGTACTTGCTATAGTAGAACAGCTAAAACAGAAAGGAGACTGTTTCCATTTGTTCGCCCTCAGGTGAGAATGACTACCTCAGCGTTTGCACATGTCAGCAAATGAACACAAAATATCATCAGTATTGGTGTTGTTAGAAATAAATCCACTAGCATGCAAATTCCAAATATGGAATCCACAACATAATGATCAACTATATTTCCTTTGGCTCTTTAGTTCTTATTTAAACATAAAGGATTATCTATAAATTTGAGTTTTTCTACTAGTAACATTTCCAAAGTATAATAGTTTACCTTATTTAGTCACATGTACTAAACTATTTAGTTACATGTACTAACTATTATAGTTCTAACCAGATAGTTTATTCATGCATGCCAGGTAATTTTTTTCCACATTATTAGATTTACAAGTATATGTCAGGGACCAGCAGATGGCATAATGATTACATCACTCAACTCTCATGTAGTCAACTGCAGTTTAAGTCCTGGACCTGGTGGCTTGAAATTCACACCAGTAACATGTGCATAGGTGCCCAAAATCTTGAGAGAAGAATGGAGGCGAAGGGATTGTGCGGTATGGCCATTCCCTCTGGGGAGTGATTTCTTGCTTCCTGTCTCTCTGTTTCTCTGGCTAGCACATGCACCCTATAACAAAAACCTCTCTAAATAAAAGAAAAAAAAAATGATTCTCATCTAGGGTATTATTTTTCTTTCTTCCTTAGTGAAAAATTAAGTTATCATGCATTGTACAATTGATGACAGGTTAGACGAAAAAGTTTATGACAACATGTTCACTCATTTGAAGAAAAGTTCCTTATTAAAAAAAGTTCCATATATATATATATATATATAATATATATATATATATATTCAAGAAATGCAAGAAAAAAATTATTTTATTGACTTGCACCAAAATTTTAAAATATTAGGTTAAAACTTACTTGTTTATTGTAGAAGGCACAAACAGCATTTACCCAATCCATCAATAAGTTTATTTTTTCACTATATTGCTCAAAAGGACCACTATTCATTTTTTCTTTTTTCTTATTAATAACAGCATCAGATCGGCAAGATAGTGCAGACATTGTTTTCTTTATACTCCGTGCACATTTTAAAAAGTCAATTTCTTCCTTTAATTGGTCTAAATTAAGGGAAATATCCACCTAAAACATACAAGAAAAGATAAATACCTTTGTATTTCCAAATATTATTTTTAACCCACAGATGTTCAAGTAACTGCCTTCTATATAGACAACTGCAGATGGAAAAATAATCTAATCACAAATTTTAAAATGCTAAGAGAACAGTGTCCAAAGTGTACATGTTAACACACACGCACATAAAAAAAACTACATTTTTTTAAAAACACTAACATAACACAAAAGTGACAGAATTTTTAGAATATAGGGTTTGGGGCCACACAAGCCTGGGTTCTGAGTACAACTCTGCTTATCAGCAATGTCAGCTTTAACTTTAGTTTCCATCTCTCTGAGTCAGACTTAACATGTACCTTGCAGGTGAGTGGTGAAGGTTCAATTGGAATATGTAAAACAATTCTCACAGTTTTAGAGACAGAATAAACCCCTATAAATGATAATTATTATTATCATTAGTCTTTATTTGACTCAAACTGCTTTTATAAGTCAGTATCCAAAGTTGATACAAAAAGTGCAAATGTACCAAATGTACGATACCTGAAAAGCAAATGCTATTTTCCAAAGCAGCCCAAGAGTTTTTTCTCTGTGTCTGTCTACTATGTCCTTAGATAGAATTGTATTTCCTACAAAGGAAAAGGCAATTCGTTAGTATAATCTGTGTACACGTCAACATGCGGGCAGGATGTTTTCCCTCTAATCACTCTTTACCATGCTCATCATTTAATTGAATTCCTCGTGACTTAAGAACTTGAAGAACAATGTCCACGTTGTGCATCTTTTGAAGACGACTTATTGCAGGAAGCCTGAGTTTCTTTGAGAGATCCCAATTCTGTGTGAGAAGTTCCATGGTTCTCCTGGCAGTAAAGAAATTGTTTGATGAAACTGCTATGTAAAATTACATATGAAAAATAACTCTCATTTAAAAGTGGTTATTACCCAAACACAAACACACACATAAACAAAATAATAGGGTTCTTCAGAGAAAGGAAGAAAAGTGAGAAAGAAGAATTGTGGGAGGAGAGAGGAGGTACATTTATTGAGACGTACTATATCCCACGTCAAGAGAGTGCTTTCTTTTCTTATTCTAATCATCATATAATACAATTAGGTATTGTTAGTCCATTTTATCAGATTCAGAAACCAAGGTTCAGAAAAACAAAGTAAATTGCTCATGGTCATATAGCCGGTAATGACAGACAGAACTAAGACAGGCACTAAAATCCAGTTTTATTAGTTTCCACAATCATTCTTGTGTGTGTGTGTGTGTGTGTGTGTGGTACATATATATAGGGTTGTCAGAAAGTCTTTGACACATTTTTTGCATAGAAAACTATGTCATGACTTTTCCAACAATTCAATACATACAGGTTACTATAAAAATATTTGAGTGTCTATTAGAAAAAGCTATGTTCACCAGAGTTCAAAATTCTAAAACCATCTCAGTCATAGAGAAGGTAAGCTCCAGTTGAGGACCATGTGTGACTAAAACTGGCAGAATTATTTATAGAACCACAGTTACTGAAGGTTAGAAAGTGACTTTCATATCAACCACCTAGTCAATGCAGGAAACATTTCTGCACCAGGTGACCATGACCCTTGGCATAAGTGGCAGAACCATTCCCAAGTACTCAAAAGTGACTTCAAAGATCTGTGAAATGGTCGTTTTGATGACACTGAACAAAACAGAAACCTGGTATACAAGATGGAGTCTCTTAACTACTGAGAGTCACTAACCAACTACTGGGTCACCGAAAAAGTCATGGTATATTTTTCTGTTTTTCAATGCAAAAATGTGTCATGACTTTTCTGACGACCCAATGCATGTCATCAACACCCAACATTGCTAAGTACTCAGTCACTCTTGCAAAAAGCATAAAAAATGTTTCTTTGTGGAAAAACAACACTAAACATTAAATCAATTCCTGTGCCTGCCGGAAGTAGAAAAAGTCTAAAAGCATGAATTACTATTGGCCAGAAAATAGACGTAGAGGCTTCAATTTATGAAATGAGAAACTTCACCAAATATAAAAATAATGTAAGAAATATTTCCAGTAAATGACCTAGGAAAACTGCTCAAGGGACAGAAAGCTATGTAATGTTTAAAAAAAAAAACAAAAACCTTTAAACTTGAAGGAATATTGATCAAGAACAAAAAGAAAGTTCATGGAAATTTATCATAGAGGAAGCAATGGACATGTATATTGATTTTGAAAAACTAGAAATTAATAAAAATCCAGAGATCTTGGGGCCAGCAGGTAGCACAGAGGTTAAGAAACTGGACACCCACGTGGGCAACTGCAGTTAGAGTCCCGGACTCAGTGACGTGAAAATTATGCCTGGTACGTGCGAGTGCATGCCCCAAACCTAAAAAGAATAGAGAAGGGATTGTGCCATGGCTTTTTCCTTGGGGAGGGGGGTGTGATCTCTCACTTTCCCTTCCACTACTTCTCTTTCTCCAGCAAGTACATGTGCCCTATGGCAGAAAACTAAAGCAAAAAGATTCAGGATCTGAATCCCAGGCCTTCTCACATGTATCATATGGTGGCACCCTACTGCCTGCAACACCTATTGGGCAAGGTTTTTTTTTTGAACCAAACTAGCACTCATCTTCCCAAAACTTTAATTGTTCATGAATAGTGTTACTATGCTTGGTAGTAAACAATTTAACAACTTACATATCTTCTATTTCTCTAGTCATAATTCCTTCAACTGTTTTTCATGAGACACAGATGTAACACTTTCATTTACATCCTAAAGATTCTTTTAGATAGAAACAACGTAATAAATGTTCCAAATAACTTATTTTCAGTTTGGTTTCATTTTTAGCACATTGGACTTTTAGCATGAACTCATGAAGCCACTGTCAACATAAAGTGTGTTATTCAACCATTTGGTATTTCGTTTTGTGCTCTTCTCAACTCCTACTCTGAGGCTTCAGTAGTTCCTATCCACACACACTACTCACATGCTGGCAGGAAAAAAACTGTGGATAGGAGACAAGGTTTCTGGATATAGAATAGACACACCATTTTTCTCAAAGAAAAATCTTAATTATTTCAGCACTAAATTTATTCTACTACATAAAAGAGAAGAAAGATCATATAACAACAGAATGTTTTCTAGAAAACCTCAATCCATTCCATCAGACAAAATAATTCTATTTCTATACTTACACAAGACGCACGCCGCACTGCAAGTCTACAGCAAGATTTGTAACAGAAAAATCAAATTCATCAAATGGTGTCTGAACATGGTTAACAGGTAATCCCAGGAAGCTAAGGTGACGAGAAAGGTCACCTTCACCACTTAGGAAATCACGTGAAAAAGCCAGAAGAATTTCCTTACTTGCCTATAAAGAAACAAGTTGTTATATTCCAATATCATAATTTTACTTACAGTTAAACCCCTCAGATCATTCTGTACATTCAGAAGTAAAATTAATGGCAGTATAAAAAGATGGTCAGCTTCATATCATATGGTAATTTAAATGTGTATACTTCGATTGATTTCAAATCTTTTTAAATGTTGCTCATAATTAATACCATAAAAATACATTAATTCGATAATATGAGGAATCTTCAAAAAACTTCATGAACAATGTATATTATGAAAACACTATAAATGGATTTCAAAATTTTCTTGCACCAAAATAAATATGTACTTTATTTCTATGCAAAGTTATTAGAGTCATCTCACATAGTACATCAATATTAGGAAAGTAACTTCTCCCAAAATTAATTCCTCAGAAGCCCAATTTAGTTCTTTCTCATGTCAAATTTAAGAGTAAGGATTGTGCAGGTGAAGGGTCAACCAACAACCAAAGTCAAGCACCGTAAGAATTACCAATGAAACTTACTAGACTGACATTCTATTCTACTCTATAATACTGTTCTTGGACAACTTGTTTTCTTGTTGTCTAAAGAGAAAACAGATCATAAAAGCAAGCAAAAGTTTTAACTGGAATATAAAATGTAAAATGAAAAGCTGTACCTTGAATTTGGCATCTTTACAGAAGAGACAAGGATCATGATCAATAAGTCTGGAAATTTTAGCATAGTCAAGGAAACAGACCAACAACAATAACTTTTTCAGTGTAAACTTGGACAAAGCTTCTTCATGGCCTTAAAGTACAAAAAAGCACAGCAAGTTAAGCTATGAAAGGCATGTTTCACCTTAAGGTGTAACAATATGAACATGCTTTAAGGGGTCAGACGGTGCTGCAGCAGTAAAACGAGATGACACGTGAGGCGGACCCATGTGGAAGGGCTCCGGGCTCACATCAGCAGACTGCCCTGATAATGCCACACTCGCGTGCCCAGCTTCGGGGCTGCCTGAAGCTGAGGGAGGATCATAGCATGAAGACCCTGTTGGGAGTGCTATTTTTCTCTCTCCATCTAGCTCTAATTCTGTAGTTCATAAAAGAAATAAATACTAAATCAATGAAACAAAAAATGTGCAAGTGAAAAAAAATATAGAAGCAAACATAAACAAAATACTATGGGGTTGGAGCTGGCAGGTGGCATGGTGGTTAAGGGCATTGGACTCCCACACGGCTGATCGTAGTTTGAGTCCTGGACCTGGCAACTTGTTCTCTCTCTCTCTCTCTCTCTCGTCAAATTAAAATATAAATTAATAAAGTTAAACAAAATAATTCTTTAAAAAAGTTATAAAAAATACTATGAGCTTTTCTTAGTGCTTTACATGTGTGAATCCATTTAATCCTCACAATAACTCTATGGGACAGGTACCATTTAATATTCCCAATTCATGGATGAGGAAACAGGCACAGAGACATTGAGAGATTTAGTTGGTCTCAGTCAACAAATATTTAATGAACACTTCCTATATAAAGGCATCTTCCTAGGTGCTGGATACAGAGTAGCAAAGTACAACAAGTATGGTCCCCAGAGGGCTCATACATATAGGACTCATAGCCTATTGGGGGACAGGGTAGGTAAAGATAGCAAACGGGTAAAGCTAATTACAAACAGCAATAGAGGAAATGATAGGGAATAATGGGTGGAGGAAAGGAACGTAGGGTCGATTGATTTCATTGAGAAAGTAACACATGAAGAGAAACAGGAAGAATGACCATCCCTTTATGCATGGTGTAGACACTCACACACGGCTGATCGTTGTGTGAGTCCTGGACCTGGCAATTTTCTCTCTCTCTCTCTCTCTCTCGTCAAATTAAAATATAAATTAATAAAGTTAAACAAAATAATTCTTTAAAAAAGTTATAAAAAATACTATGAGCTTTTCTTAGTGCTTTACATGTGTGAATCCATTTAATCCTCACAATAACTCTATGGGACAGGTACCATTTAATATTCCCAATTCATGGATGAGGAAACAGGCACAGAGACATTGAGAGATTTAGTTGGTCTCAGTCAACAAATATTTAATGAACACTTCCTATATAAAGGCATCTTCCTAGGTGCTGGATACAGAGTAGCAAAGTACAACAAGTATGGTCCCCAGAGGGCTCATACATATAGGACTCATAGCCTATTGGGGGACAGGGTAGGTAAAGATAGCAAACGGGTAAAGCTAATTACAAACAGCAATAGAGGAAATGATAGGGAATAATGGGTGGAGGAAAGGAACGTAGGGTCGATTGATTTCATTGAGAAAGTAACACATGAAGAGAAACAGGAAGAATGACCATCCCTTTATGCATGGTGTAGAGAGAATGCAGTGGAGGCAGAAATATTTACCATCTCTGTAAAGATGAGGAACAGAAGGGTGTCTATACTCAGCTGCTATATCAGGATTCCAAAGCAAGCGATTCAGAATAAACATAGCCAGCCCTGTGACATCGCTGTTGCCTTCCAAAGCTATGAGTTCTCCATAAACTGTCTGAAAAGAAGATGTTAAAGACAAAGTCAGGATTATGTTCTAAGCAGCAAAGAGATGCAGCTGGGGAAAAGAGACAAGGATCTCCTACGTTACTGGCAACATTCTATTTCCTCAACAGTATGGAAGGGACGTGATAATTTGCTAGATGACCTCTTTAACTGTACATATATGCTTTATGCATTTTAAAAATGTGTATGATATACTTCACAACAACAACAACAACAAAAACAAAGCTCAGGACTGAGATAACTTCTTAATCATCAGACAAGTAATATTTACACTTAAATTTTTACCTTTCATAGAATTACCAAATAGAGGCATGTTGTTTTTAAATCTGATTATAACTGTCCTAGTAAACACAGAAACCCAAATATTCAAAATTTTCAAATAGTGAAAAACCATTTGCAAGTCATCGAAGGTAATAATTTTTGGATATACAATCTTTTTTGTAATCAATAATTTAAATATGAAATCAGTTTAGCGTCAATATGTTAATGAATGGCTTTTAAAAGCAATTAGAAAAAACAAAACTTAGGGACTAGCAGATGGCATAACAGTTACATTGCTAGACTCCCACATAGTCGACCATGATTTGAGTCCAGAACCTGGAGGCTTAAAACTCACACCAGGCATGTGTGCGTGTGTGCCCAAAATCCCAAGAGGAAAAAGGAGAAGGGGCTGCATCATGGCCATCTCCTGGGGGCGGGGAGGGCAGTGATTTCTCACTTTCTGTCTCTCTGGCAAGCGTACACGCCCTATAGCAAAAATCTCTTAAAAAAAGAAAAGAAAAAAACAAAACTTATTAAATTAAGTATTAAAAAATAGTTCAATGTCTTACCCTGGTAGTAGCTTTCTAATTCAGTTATTTAACATTCTAGGTATTACTGAACCAAATACGATGTAAGTAATTTAAATGTCATCATTTTTTAGTAGTACTCCACCAAAACGGTTATAAGGTTGGCTTCAGCATAGGCTGATGTAGATTCAAATCCTGACCAATGATTGGAATTTGCCAAGTCCCTTAACATCTAATGTAATAGACTTCATATTTTATACTAAAAGATAAATTAAGCTAACAAAATTACTTTATAACTTTTATAAGTAAAACTCTATTTTATTAGAGCATATTCTATTAAGAGTATATACTATGGTCTTGCCGCTGTGGAATAGCAAGCTGCATTACCAGTCTGCATTTTGAGTATTCAGCCAGGTCGGCTTGAAAACATGCTGGGAATGTGCCCAGAACCCTGACTGAGTCTTGCAGAGAGTGTCTCTCTCATGCATACACATCCTATTACTAATTTTTAAATTACATAATAAAAAAAGTACATTGTTCTCAAAAACGGAAATAAATGCTTACCTCTAGGCCAATTCGAAGCCACAGAGGATTATATGACAACAACCAATTCAAGACTTTCTGGCGTTCTCCTGAAATGCATGTCAAAAACAAGTAAGCTCAGACTGTTAATCAAATAGAAACAATAAATAAAAAACTTCACGGAGAGAGACTGATGAGCAAAAAATGATAATAGATTATTAAAAAACAAGTCAACACAAATGAAATACTTCTATTCTTAAATATGATCATATTTAAGCATAGAACATTCTAGGCAGCAAAGCTAAAGCGTGTATATTTAACTTTGAAATATAAAATCTCTTGGGTACACAAAGGGTCTTGAAAAAGTTTGTGAAAATTCATATCATGAAAAAACTATGCATGAACTTAACTCCATTTCCCACAAACTATGCCTTCTCATACGTTCAAAGGAAATAAAATCGGTATCTAGAAGAGGTATCAGCATTCATCTCATGTTTATTACAACATTATTTGTATAACATAAGATATGGCATCAACATCAATGGATAATAAAAATGTGGTATATGTAATTTATATACACATACAAAATGTGTGTATTATACACACACACACACACACACACACACACACACAAAGGAATACTATTTAGCCTTAAAAAAAAAAGTATGCTATTTGTGACAATATGGATGAACCTAAAGAACATATGCTTGCTGGAGCTAGCAGATGGTGTGGTGGTTAGGATGCTGGACCTCCACATGGTGGACCACAGTTCAAGTCCTAGAACCGGTGACTTGAAAATCACACTGAATATGTGTGTGTGTGCATGCCCAAAATCCCAGGAAGAGAATGGATAGCAGCGTGGCCATCCCCCAAGGGAGTAATTTCTCACTCTCTCTCCTTCACTGTCTATCTTTCTCTCCAGCGAGTATACGCACCCTCTGGCAAAAATCTTTAAAAAAAAAAAAAGCTCAGTGAAATAAGCTAGGCACAGAAAGACAAACACTTTACGATCTCACACATACATGGAACAAAAAAAGTCAAACTCAGAAGCAGATAGAATGGTTAGAATAGTGATTTCCAGAGCTAAGATATGAGTTCATAGGGGAGAAATTGGAAAAAAAGGTACAAAGCTACTGTTATGAAGCATAAATAAGTTCTAGATAACTAATACATAGTGTGATGGCTATAGTAAATAATATTGCATTGTATACTTGAAATTTGACAGAAAATACAACTATATTCTCACCACACACACACACACACACACACACACACACACACAGAAGTAACTATGGGAGGTGATGAACACGTTTATTAGCTTAACAGCGATGATCATTTTATAATGTATACGTACATCAACACCATGACGAACACCTTAAATAGACAGTTTTCTCTGTCAAGTATACTTCAATAAAGCTTCAAAATTTCTAGTGTTTTTAATCTCAAGATTTCTGTCATCTTCTTACCTATATCTTTCCAGAGGTGTCTATCTTTTCGAACGATTAACCGCCTAGCTTCAATTTCAATTTCAAGCTTTTTAATAGCCTTGACCATTTTTTCAGAAGTAAATAAACGGCAAGCTGCACGGCGTAACCTGTTCATCCTGCACCGCGCAGTATAAGCTCGGAGAGACACTTCATCTTTCGTAGGTGCCCTAGGAACACTGGTTTTATGTTGATTCTCTACTCCCAAAAAGAGAGTAGCAGCATTTACTAGATGAAAACACAAGGAATAAAGCTGTCATTAAACAATCAGAAATGAAATACAACTTAAAATGCTCAGAGTTCCCATTCCTCCAAGCTTATTCTAGTTTCATTATCTCAAAATAAAGGTGTCACCATTCACTAAGTTCCATAGGCCAACTTATCACTGCAGCCTATTAGATCTACCTACAAAATATATCCCATGTCTAGCCAATTCTCACTACTTCCACCCATCACACACACAGTGCAAACATTATCTTCTCTAACCCAGGTTAACGAAATAGCCCCCTAACTAATATATGTTCTTTTAATAATTTAATAAAAGTTGAACTTCTAAGGAATATGATTTCATAAAATCAATTAAGTTTCAAAATGTAATCTGAATTTAAGTTTATTTCTTAGATAAGAAAGAATTAGAGAGAGAAAGAGAGAGAGCAACCTCAACAGAGTTCCAACACCATGATCCACCTCCCAGTATTTAGCCAGACCTGGATCATGGTCAACCATAGGCCCAGCGTACTCAAGGCCTTCAGACTCAAATCAGAACCTTCCATAATTTTCATTTTTATAAAACGCTTTTTCTCTCTACAAAAGAACCGAAAACTGGGCTTTGTTTCTTTTTGGGGAAAACTGAAAAATGATCTTAGACATCATCTAATCCAAAGACCTTTTTAATACAGAAACCTATACATGAAACTAACAAGTATCTGGGGAAGTCATCCTTTTAAAAGACAGCACATATGATGATTTGATAATTTATAGGGATTTTTTATTAACTGGAACAGAAATTGATCCCCACAGCTTCTACGCAAGAACTGCATAAAAGTCTCTTTTTCATTCTAAAACAAATCCTTCAAATGTTTGGAGAGCACCATACCTCCAACTTGTCCCACACCCAGCCCTCTCTTTTCCAGAATAAACACTAAAATATTTTTTTAAATTCCTCACATACATTAGTTGTCAAGTTCCTTATAATCCTGCCTTCCTACGTACTTCTTACATAAAGGTACTTAACATGGAGACAATATACCCAAAATGGTCAGGCCACACAGGATTGATTGCATTGGCTACTGAGAGAGAATGGAAAGCAACAAGATATGGAAATCTATGCACCTAAATTTACGTAGGTAAAAATTCTTATCTATACAACCTTTTAGTATTTAAGCCAAGGAACTGGTGAGCCATGCCATTAACTAAAATATAATTAAGTATAATGATCTGCTAAGAGTTTTGTTAAACTTAAATATTAACTTAATGATTACCTTCAGAAATATTTGTTTTTACAGTGAAGTCATCAGGAGTTAATATAAAATTTAGCCACCAAGTGAAGCCCTGTTCCTGTTTTTCCTTCCAACGTTCATCGTAAAACATGTTTTTTGCAGCAAAAGGCATTGGATGTCTAGGAATATCTAAGAATACAGTTAGGTTATTGCATTTAAAACTTTCCTTTGAATTATTACACAATATATAGTAAAAGGTCATTCTGACTAGCAAAACCGTCTTTAAGACACTAACAATATTTGTTATTCCACTATTTGCTGGAAGAAGTTGAAAAGTATTTTGGGTATGAAATACAATCAAAGTCAAAGGTGGAAAAGTAAAGCAATACTTCTTGGTTATTTATAAATCTTAAGCTACCATGAGTTAATCTCATTAAAGTCTGATAGAATAGTTTAATCATAATTTGAATATACAATTCTTCAAGAATTTTATTCAACAACAAAAAAGATTTGCGATGCGATTCATTTTTGAATTTTTATTTGAGATGCAATTACTGTTCCATTTTAGGTCACATTCTTAAGAATTTAAATGTAATAAACACTTGCCTGTTTTTAATGGTTTTATGAAGGTCAGACTGGACTGTGCCACAGCAATAACGGGCTTTGTCCTTTTGTTTGGTTTAGAAGTAGGAGTTTTGAATATGAATGAATCTAAAATAAATGAAAAAGAACAGAATTAATGCATTTTTTTTAATTCCCTAAATAACTAATTCAAAAGTAAAGTTTTAATTCTTTGTAATCATATTAATTTAGCTAATACAGACATGTGCATCTCTGGGCATTACAATCAGGGTCTGGACTAAGGTAAGGTAAGTGAAGTATTTTCTTTGGGTGAAAAACTTAAGTTGCCAAAAAAACAAAACAGAACAAAAAAAAAAAAAGAAAAAAAAAAAAACAGTAAAATAATATTTTGGGGCCAGAAGGTGGCTTGTTTTTTAAGACACTGTTTTTAAGACACTGGATTCCCATATGTCAAGCCGCAGATTCACGTTCTGGACCTGGTGGCTTGAAAAACACACTGCGTGAGTGTACCCAAAATCGTAAGAGGAAATGAGGGAGAAGACATTGTGCTGTGGCCATTCCCCTGAGGGGTGATTTCTCACTGTCCCTCTCTCTGTCTCTATCTGTCTCTCTCCAGTGAGTGTACACACCCTATGGCAAAAACTGAATTAATAATAATTGAATGCTGTATTATTATTATTATCAATTTGCTAAACGGTGTATGCACTTGCTAGGGAGAGACAGGGAGGAGAGTGAGAAAGCACCCCCTCTGGAGGACAGCCATGCTACAATCCCTTCGCCTTCATCTCTCCCCTCAGGACTTTGGGCATGTACACATGCACCCTGTTACTTCTCAGGCTGTCAGGTCTGGGACTCCAACCAGGCATTTGGCCATGTGGGATCCAGCCACCCTAACTACCACACCACTGGCCACAAGGCTGTATTTGTTTAAAAATCAAAATTAATGCTAAAAATTCATGATGAATAAAAAATATCAAAAGTGTAAATAAGGACAGGATCACTACTATTTCAGCTTAGCCCCACACTGCATTTACTCCACATTTTACTAAGCAAATCAGTAGATGAAAAGGGCAAGTTATATAAGCTTATCGACTGCAGGATAAAGATAGGATAAAAGAATATGGCCTTCACAGATAGACTTTCATTAGATTTTATAAACAAGACTCACCAGTTTTCTTCTTCAGGCTTAATTTCTCTCTGTTGCTTTTTGAGATGGGTGTTATCACCTTTTTTGTTTTTTTTACAGTTGATGTTTTGGGTTCAGAGGGAGAAAAATGAATTCTTTTGATTTCTTGCACCCCTATGTGTTCTGTAACCACAACCCTCACATTTGCAGCTTCCAGGTTTTCATCACTCTTTCTTTTACGAGTAACCATTGAAGGAGTCACTGCTTCTTTATAACTCTTAGATTTACTTAATATTGGCTCTATAATTGGAAGATAAGAAAGAAAAGCTTCTTTCTCTTTTGGAGTATCTGTTACTTTTTCACATTCACCTACTGCGTTGTTGAGACATTTTTTTGCTTTCGGTTTATTCATCTCAGTTTTGTTTTCTCTGGCATGGATAAGCTTCCTTTTAGTAACAGTGGCAGAAAGTATTGGGCGTCTCTTAGGTTGTTTTTTGTGGCTGTGACTAGAAATATCCTGAACTGCAGAAAATTTAGAATGATTTTGTGCTGTGAAACTGTTGCTATTCGACTTTGTTTCTACAGCTTTGAGTTCTTTGAAAATAGCTTGGGGAGACTTTGAACCCTGACATTTAGAAATGCATGGCAAAACTTCACTTTTTCTCCAGTTCTGAAGCTCTGGGATCTGAGAATTTTCATTTGGTGATGATAGCAATTTACATGTTGGCTGAGATGTACATATATATGTCATATTGTCTTTGACAAATTGATGTGGGGATAAAATGGGATTTACTGACTCTGATTCTAGAGGTTGATTTATTCCATAACTATCATTTATAAAAGAATTTGGACTTAAAATTGTCCGATAAGTTTCACGTACAGTGTTAGATTCCAAATATACAGGCTTTGAATTATCTCTCATAAATGTCTCTGATGTAAGACATGTCACTAATTCTAGCCCATTATTAGCTGTACGGCTATTATTTACAAAAGAATCTGGACTTAGGAAATGTGTGTGGCTTTGTGTAATATTCAAAGTTGAGTAGTTTGGGGTAAGAGTCAGTTTATTCTCTCCACTTTGGTCATTAGTATTTATGGAATTAAAGGAACGTTCAGTTATGACTTCCTCATTACAATTAAAATCTTTTGCGACGTTGCCATTTTCTGTTTTCAACGTCTCTCCATTTTCGGAGGCATGAAGAGATGAGTAGGTGGTAGATCGACGTACAGAGAGCGGTAAGCAAATTTCACTGTGGCATTCTTTCAAAGCAGGGCTAATGGGTGATATAAGAATTTTATTTTCTTCAAGTGTTAAAAAATTGTTTTCTGTTGGGGAACAGCCTTCATTCATTGCCAGATTTTCACAAGCTTGCAGTGGGCTCCTAACTCTATCAACATTTTGAGCAACACTGAATGTCTTATTAATATTTTGAGAATTTGAAATCCTTTTGTTATGACTTGAAGAAGCTGAACTTTTTTTCTTATTAGTGGTATCCCAAAGACTCCTCTGCAAAAAAAAAAAGTAAAATATAACAGTTATGTTGATAGCTATTAAATATTACCTTTAAATAAGTAGTATTATGTATGTTATTTCGAGCCAACTCTCAAAATAATTTTTACGTATTATATATTTCCTTAAAGTGAATGGTTGAAACATTACCTTTTTCTGTTTCTTTTTCTGCTCTTCTGCATTTCCTAGTAATATGGCTTGGTGTTTCAGAACATCATTTACAAGAAATGTCACAGTGGCTCTTACTCGGCCTTCTTTGAGTGGTGTCCAGTTAACAGAAATAACAATTTTTTCTTCAGGCTATCATCAAAAGAATACATTTTAAATTATTAAAACAACAGTAATTATAGTAACCAACACACATTATATACAGCTTAGCACACAATAGAGGACTGATAATTGTTGAGTCACCAGTATCCTACAGGCTAATAGCATTTAATGAGTGAAATATATTTTTCCTCCCCCAGCTGCTCATTTCATTATAAGGAAAAAGGCCACTAGTAATAACAGAGTTCACAAAATAAAATTATAATAAAATATTAAGTTCATGAAACCATGGGACAGATAGTCTCCAAATTATTTTATTCGGTGTAGTTTTAAATTGTTTAATTGTATTTTTCTTCTTTTTTAGATATATACTTCTATTTTAACTATAGAAGTACATTACCGCATTATGAAGACTTTAATCAAAAAGAAATATGAAGTGGGAACCAGCAGTTAGCGTAATGGCTATGTAGCTGGACTCCCACGTAGTCGACCGCGGTTCGTGTCCTGGACCCGGTGGCTTAAAACTCACGCCGGGCGCGTGTGCATGCGTGCCCAAGATCCCGAGAGGAGAATGGAGGAGAAGGGATTGTGGCGTGACCATCCCCCCTGGGGGGTGATTTCTGGCTTTCTGTCTCTATGTCTCTCTCTGTCTGTCTGGCGAGCGCACGCGCCCTACAGTGAAAATCTCTCCAAAAAAAAAAAAAATATATGAAGTTATTATAATCAGCTAAATTCTTTCTTCCCCACAAACTCCACATATCATACTGATATTTGTTAAACAATTATTACTTTCTAGGCAAAGGTATAGATGTCTCCTATAACTCATAACGCTTGCATCCCTAAGCAGATACTACCATGCATGCTTTACAGATGAAATAACCACTGTCCGAGAAACTTTGCCAAACTCATACAGCTGGTAACTAGAACCTAGGCAGTGTAACTCCAGATTCAGACATCAGCCTCTATACCCCTCTACTTAACAGGGAGATAGAATCTGCTTGATGCCAACCCCATCATGAAAAAACAAACGGTTACTTTGCAGGGGATAATGACAAGCTTTTAGTTTTAAAGGAGAAACCTTAAACTTGTTTTAATAAGTAAAAACAAAGAATTCTCACTTCATGAGACAGTTTACTTTAAAAAACAACAGAAAGCCTTAGTCACACGTTATAACAGAAAGGAATTAAGTAGAAGTGTTACTTAGATAGGAACTAACTGCACAGTAGGAAAAGGAGGAGGTCTTTCAGAGTAGTGGAGGGACCTGCAGGTTCTGAAGAGCGATGGTCACTGTAGAGCACAGGTCCGAGGGCCTCAGGTAGCTAGCTCTTAACTGCAGTAAAGGCGGTTTTCAGCCAAGCAGGTCAGGCTTCCTCAGCTAGTGGCTATCCCACTGTCAGAGTCTAATGAAGGGAAAGGCTACAGCAATCAAAATCTGAATGGCAGTTCTCTGGATTTGGGAACTGGAGGGGACCATTATCTGACCATTGCAATGCAGTAAAATCTCGAGTAGAGTCTTGAAGAAACATTTACAACATTACCTTTGACGCACCCTTACAATGACACAGACTGCAAAGAAATAAAAAAGGATTAAGACACTAAACTGCATACACTATACATATATGTTGAAAAAAAAAAAAAACTCTAAAGAGATTTTTCTGTGTGTTTGTTTTTGCTGTATACATTTAGCCAACACAAAGCTCACTATGTCACCAGGAAAAGTAGTCGCCCAAACTCAAGGACACTAGAAACTAAAATGCATATTAAGAAGGCTGGTAGGAAAGAGATGAAGAACGCGCTCGGTTCGATGCACTCCTAGAGATTTTAAAAGACAGTAAATTTGTACTCTATAAACAGAATTTATTCTAAAAACAATAACAAAAGTCCCTAGTTCCACTTCATAACAAAAAGAAGTAAAAGCATTACGTATACAGCAAAGAAATCTGTCCACAAAAAGGAAAACGGTCATTCTCAAAACAGGGGCGGGAAGGGCGGGACCGGCGGGGCCAGGAGAGCAGGACCTCAGGGACACACGTCCATGGACCTCATTAAAATCTCTTCTCACTGCCTGAGGAAGTGGCTATTGATCAAAAGTGCCGCTATGAACTGAGCTCCAAAAGCATTTCATAAAGCCTGAAGCTAATGCAAAATGCTTCCAAAGACCCTAAGAGCCCAAGGCTGACGCGCTGTCACCGCCTACCCGAGCCTTTTGCAAGGAGCCACCCATGGTGATTGACAGAAAAGGAACTGACACCGTGCTCTAAATGTCTGTCTGTCGCTCCAGAGCAGGGGGCGGTCCAGACAAGGGATAAGGCCTACCCCCCCC